AAATACTTCACTTTATATAGCGTTATCAAAAGAATATTTAAATTGTTTTCAAAGTGATCTTTCTCCAAATAAAGTAAATACTTTAAATAATTCTAGTTCAATTTGAATAATATTTAAATATTCGTTAAATTTTATTATTTCCACAGTTTAAATACGAAATTTATTGTAATAATGTTTTACTTATATTTTGTAATTAATTTTTTGATTTATTTAATATTTTTCAGTTAATTTGCAGCCTTTAGATCATTGTTTATTATTTTTAAATTTATTACAAATCGACATAAATTGTTAGCTACTTTTTTATATCTAAATCGCAATCAAATGTCATAAATATATTTCAAAATTGAATTTTATGATTCATTTAAGTCCCTTATCAGCAAATCAATGCAGAAGATATAAATAAGTTTAAAAAACACTTTAATTTGACATTTTCATTCAAATAATTCGAAAATAAGCCAACGACCTTTGCCTTTGCTCCTGCTGCCAGGCAACCCTCGTCAAAGTGATAGATCCCCCCATTGAGCTGAAGACGAGTTGAGTTAAATCCAGTTGAGTTGAGTGAAGTTCTAAGCGCTTAGCCGCCGGAAGCGATTGCACCTCCAACGGCCGCAACATTAGCATACAAATGTGTCAGAGCCAAACAGCCAAATAAACCAAGCGACAGCGAACAAAAAACAAAGTCCAACTGCAGCAAATAAAAAAGAACAAATGTATGGAAGAGGCAGCGCGTGATTTCTTGACTAATTTTTATGACACTTTTCATTTTATGACGGCGCACAGTGTGACAAGTGTATGAAGATCGAGTGCAAAAGTTTCAATTACAATTGCATGTAACAAAAATTTAGTTTTCTTTGTATTAAAAATCAGCAATATTTACTGAATTTTCTATATTATTTATATTTATTTTTAAAATATTTTTTAAAATACAATTAAGTTACATTTTGTATTTTGTTATTATTTAACTGAAAAATATTTATTTTATTACTATTTATTTTATTAAAAGAAGTTCTGTCTAAAAGCAATCTGAAACCAATTTGTAGCTTAAAAACAAATATTTTTGTACAGTTTTTAAACTCACTAATGAAACACTTTAAATGTATTTGAAATATTGCAAGACCGACTTGATTCACATAAGAAATTCAACTGACAAATATTTAAAAGGATTACTTGAGCATCCTAGTTAATCAACCATTTTGAACCACTGTGCCTATGTGTCGCTGTTAATTTGAAAAGTAGCTGCTTTACTATTCCTTCACTCATTTAATATTTACGAGTTTTTTCTTTAAACTTTAAAGGCAACTCTTCGATCGTGTTGGTGCATAAACTTTTTTATCGCTGCCACTAAAGGTGGGTGGAGGTGGGGCGGTGCTTTTGGTCATAAAATTGTTTGGGCCTCACTATTAAAAACAATAAATGTCAAAAATGTTGCTGGATCACAATGTTTCTCTAATAGAGAGAGAGTGTGAGAGAGAGCGAACGCTTTTAGCCATGCAAATCACGTAAATTATGGCCACGGCCGTATAATTTCTTATCGCTCGAACATGATTTCAAATGATAGACGGGAACTGCAGCAGGACGAACCGTCGGACGGACGTCTGGCTACATGACCAAGATTTAGTGGGCGCGACAAGTTTGAGTTTCTTTTTAGCCAAGTTATAGAGGAGGTTCAGGGCGGGGGGCCAACTGCTGCAATTGCCAATTGGCAACTCTCTGGCAACACGCATAAATTGAGAGCGCCGTCGCTTTTTTATCTAATCCGCGGCATCTGTGCGGCGACGATGACGACGGCGACGCGTACATTAGTTGCAGGCCTATTGGCTGTGGATCTGGCGGAGCTGCTCCGGGTTGGGTCTGCTCCGACGACAATCGACAGGCAATAAATCACCAAAGTTGCCACAGAACATTTTACGCAAGCCGCGCACACCAAACAAATTTATGTGCAACCGATAAAAATCGGAATCGAACATTAGAATAAATTGTCAGTCAGTTGCGTCGCGTCGCTTCGATTTGCCTGGAAAACCCAGTTCCAAAAAAAATACGAAAAATTTCACATACCAATGCAGCACAGTTAAACGATTCATTAAAATAGACTGAGAAAAATAAAATTGCTGGCGAAATATTTATTTGGCAATCAAAAATATTTTATTAATAAAGGAAAAATCTATGAAAATCTACTACAAAATTAAGAGAGAGGGAGTGAGACATAATTATTTTGAACGTTTCCTTTGCAAGATTTTTATTTAGTTTAGTAAATAATTAAATACCGTTAGATTCTAATAGTTGCTAAGAAATTGCTACCTTTGCAATTCCTTAAGATCTTCTTTATCATTATCTATTCCTGACATATTTTTATCTCTAATAAATTCTACTACTCCAACTTAACTGAAATTAATGACACAGATCTCTTTTCTTCTACGGCGAAAAGGGATTGCTGAAAGGAGCGATCTGGCAGAAACTATTGCTAAAGTCAAAGTAGAGATCGTAATGGAGGAAATGTTTAAAGATGAAGATGCTTGGAACAGAGTCTGAGACTACCATAAACAGATTTTGCGGCGGTTAAAGTAAGAACTGAATGCAGGAACACTGAGAACAGTGAGCAGCTAGAGCATACAGAAGACGCCTTGAAAAAAAAAAACAAAATATTCTGCTGAATTAGCAACATTTAAAGAAGCTTTAAAAAAATCAGTTAAAAATCCAATCGAAATTCTTTTATATATTAAAATGTCAAGAAAAAATCTATAATTTGTAATACTAAACGTATTTCTATTCACTTTAGACCGATTTCTAATTTCATTTAAGTTTTCAACACATTTCCAACTTAAAACACTTTCAATTGCTAACTCCTGTCAACTAAAGCAATCAGAAAAAATCGCATTATTCGAGCTTTTAACTTAGTAATTGCTCTCAGGATTCCAGCACATGCTGGAAATGTGGGGAAAACCCCTTTGGAAAACCCCATGAAATCATAAGCACAATTGCAGTAATTACACATTTTTTTGTTGTGAACTTTTTACTTACCTTTGAATAGTTCTCCTTGCTCCTGCTGCTGCTCTGGCTATCTCTTTCGCTCCTGTGTCTCGTCGCGACTTTTGTCACTTCTGGCGTATGGGCGGGTGTTTGAGTTGTACCGTTAAAAGCACGTTCCTTCAGAAGGACAATAATCCGACGCGTCGCTGTTGCCGCCTCTATGCGTGCGTATATATATGTACATCTATCTCTGTGTTTGTGTGTCCGAAGTGCCGTTATTGGCGGCGCGTCGACGCTGCTGGCGGAGTATAATCCAATAATCCAACACGAATGAGCGTGGCAGGCAGAAATTGCAAAAAATAGACACAGACAACAACAACAGCCGCTAGTCCTCCTCGTCTTCTTCTTCTGCTGCTTCTTCTTGCCCTATGTGCGTCTATATATGCGTATGCGTGTGTCTGTGTGTGTGTGGGTGACGACTGCGACGCAGCCGCTTATTTAGTAAATTAAACTTTTCACTTTTTGCAATTTGGCCACACAAAATGGAAAATGGAAAATAGAAAATGGGCAATTTACTTGCTTTCGTTTTGGTTTTTACCCAATTCACAAATACACAACAACAACAACAACAATGTGCGCGCACACACACACTTAACAATAAACAAAGCAATGCCGACGCTAGCGCCGTTGCAAGCAGCAGCTAGTCTCAGCCTAGCCAAATAGCAACAACAACAACATCAGCAGCAGTAAGTCAGCGTCGGCGGCAGCGGCGTCGGCGGCAACAACTTTGCTGTAGTACACAAAAAAAATAGAATTCCTTTTTCACTGTGCACTGCGCGTCTCAGTTAACGTCGACGTCGCCGTCGCTGTCGCTGTCACCGTGCTCTACCTTCTTTAATTTGTATATATGTATTATGTATTTAGTTGTTGTTATGTACTCCACTTTGACTACTATTTGATTCTTTTATTAATGACATTTCACCTTTTTTTCCACAAAAACCAACCGCCAGTCGCCGCGTAAATTTTTTTTATTTTTTTTCTTTGTGCGACACTCACCGTAATTTACTGCTGACGATTAAATAGACACTCTCACTTTGCACACACTCTTAAGGAGTAATTGTTGCAAGCAATGCGACACTCATTTAATAAACATTAGAAATTTTTTTGTTTTTCGATTTTCCGCAAAAACACAACAAAATTTCTGTGAAGCGGCCGGTACACGCGCGCACACAACCGTTCGAAATCGCCGTCAATTCCAGACTGTTAAATAAATGTAAATGCAACTGTTATACTCAAAATGGACAACAGCATTCAGCTGTTAACTCCACTGTTAAATAACTCAATATTCCTCAATCAAGATTTTAGCCGAAAAATGTTGAAACTAAAGCTGTCATATTCTTCTACATTTTGCAAGCGCCTCAAATAAAAACAGTTTTAAAAAATAATACTATTACATTTTCTAAGTGGATTTTATTAAAACTTTATAATTTTCGATTAATAATATAATAATTTATACACATATTTCATACAATTTCAACTTAGCCTTTTTTTGGCCAGCGCTAACACCGCTGTTATGCTCTCTGAGCGTCTGTTAATTTAACAGTCGCGCGCTCTCAAAATGTGTGACCATATGTTGCCAGTTTTAGGATTTCATTAATAGAAAAAATACCAGTTTCGCATGGTTGCACACAAGCCCTTACTACTGCCAATTTGAGTATTTGCTATCAAGTAAATGCTTCAAATTTAAATTTAATATGTGAATTAAAATAATTATAATTATGATTAATTGAGAAATGTAAACTAATAAAAGAAAATTAGTTCTAACTTCTATGGAATAATACGTATGATATTTATTTGTCCACTCTATTCTTTAATTCATTTAATATTTGGTCTAGGCAGTTGCTGACAAAAGCTGATTGATTTAAGGGAAAGTGAACGTTATTCACTCCCAAAATCTGCATCGATCTCTCTCTCCCTCTCTTTATATTTTTGAATTCCAATTCATTCTTGTGTTACTCACCCACACTCTCTATTTTTGTTTTTGTCGCTCTCCCTCTGTAATAACTCCTATAGCTGTAACTATTTTATGTATTTTTATAATATTGTTATTTCATGCATTGATAAGATAACACACACACACAGGTACGCAAGCTCACATTCATTAGGTTATTAACAAAGCCGAATGTTTTTGTTTTTTTTTTTTGTGTATGTGAAAAAATATGATTAGTTGTCGTTCGGTTTTGAAGCCGGCAAGTTCTACCGACGAACACAGACAGTGGGAAATTGCACAATTCCAAACGAAAAGTGAAAGAGAGTGAGAGAGCACACAAAAATGCCGTCGCTTACCGGCAAATTGCTGTTGCTCTATTTCTACCTATTATGCTTGGCTCTGGCGGCTTCCATAACATTAGGTTCGGTAACTGTTATATAAAAAAATCTAACTAACTCCCTTTATTCTGCTCTCTTCTGCTCTCTTTATGCAGATGAGCAATGCCAGCATGCAATTGACAGCTGCGATCGGTGCCTTAACACGCACCTTAATTGTGCCTGGTGCACGGATAAAGTGAGTGCGCTCTCTCGCTTTCTCTATTTATGCTGTTGCTTAAAGTCATATTCGCTCTCTGTTGCAGACCTATGAGATACGCTCGCGCTGTCTGTCGCGCGAAACTCTGCTCAGTCTGAACTGCAGCGAGGCGAATATCTATGAGAATCAGCCACAACTGGAACTGCTGCAGCAGCGCCCACTCAAGGATTATGAAACGCGCGACGAACAGGCGGTGCAAGTAAATCCGCAGCGCGTCTTTCTTAAATTAGTCAAAGGTGCGTATCTTATCGCTCGCTCGCCCCTTCCTCTTTTTCTCTCTCTCTCTCTCTCGCACCCTCCTCTTAGCTGTTAAACTATGCTACACATGTTATATTTATCGGCGCATTAGTTAGCTTGCGCTCTGCCTTTTGCTGCGAAAAACTGTGTCATCGCATTTTGTTTGATTTGCTCATTTGACACATTCATATTTTTGAGGGTTTGTTCATGGGTGTGTGTGTATGTGTCGCTTATCTACAATTTGTCTGACACATTTTATATCTAAGTTATTGGAATTATACGGTAGCGCGGGAATCCACAGAGTTTACTGAGTTTACCCGGCTTATTTACCTGTTAACATGGACCTAATCTGCATATAAAGTTAACTCAAACAGACAAAAAGTAAAGACATCTATCACATGTTAAAATTTCATTTAAAGATTGATTAATAATTAACATAGGAAACTTTGAAAATTGAATTGAATTAAATTCAATTCGCAGACTATTCTTATTAGAACATGTCATGCGCTTTAATCTGATTGGAAGAGAACTTCAGTCAGACAGTTGCTCCAACTACATGATCATTTTCGTAGCTCGTACTTTTTGTATGGCTCATATAAGTCTATATATAGTTGCCCGATCTTCCACTCTTGCACAAGGACGTCGACTGGAGGAGGCACGGCTTTAGACACTCTTCGATAGCCTAAGGCTATGCTGAAGGCTGGCAGCCTTTGGTTCCACAGCATCCGTTTCATCCATCGGCTTACTACGGGCGTCTGTTCCCATCCTACTCCCAAAAAAAAGTCTAACACCTTGTTAGTTTCCGCTGCTTTGACTCCTTAACAGGTCTCTGTGGGGCTCAACTTACTCTTGCTTAGACTATTACAGAAACTTTGATGCAGTGTGTCTGGAATCCTTTTCAAATTAGTATCCTCAGAAAGCTAGCAAAGCGATAACTGCAAGATAAATTTAGTTTATGCTGCTGTTAAATTAAACCTGTGATTAGTCAGGAACTGGTAAGGAAACGAAGACGAGAGATCATTCAATTGGCTGTCATTAAAATGTGAATGGAAAAGGAAAAAACTGTGTGAGCTGCAATTATGGGCTGGGAAAATTGTGGGGCTTAAGGATTAAAGGAAGGCAAACATTTAGCAGGGGTGCGAACAACTACTCTTAATAATGAAGGGTTATAAACTGGAGTGTAGTGCAGTGTAGTGGATAGTGTAATGGAATGTGGAGCAGACAATGCTTAACTACTGCTGGCTGTTGTCTGCTGTCTGCTGTCTGCTGTCTGTTGTATGTTGTCTTTCAATGGCATCGCAGCCTATAAAACAGCTCGTAAATGGCGCACTTAACCCCTTGACTTTACTGCCCAGCAGTAAATGCCCTTCTGGCCCAGCCCACCCCACGATTGCAATTCCAATTCGAATATCTTTTGGCAGGCAACACGCAACGCATCAAGCTGAGCTATCGAGCGGCACGCAACAATCCGCTCGACCTGTACGTGCTGATGGATCTCACCTGGACGATGCGCGACGATAAGGATACGCTGGAGGAGCTGGGCGCCGAGCTAACCCAAACGCTGCACAATCTAACGGATAACTATCGCCTGGGCTTTGGCTCCTTTGCGGATAAGCCGGCCATGCCTATGATAATGCCACAGCTGCGGGATAATCCGTGTGCCGCGGAGCGGGAAAGCTGCGAGCCCACCTACGGCTATCGGCACCATCTGAAGCTCACGGAGAATGTCAAGGCATTCACAGCTGCCGTCGCAGCCAGTAAGATTACAGGGAATCTGGACAATCTGGAGGGCGGCCTGGATGCCCTCATGCAGGTGATTGTCTGCCCCGAGGCAATCGGCTGGAAGCAACAGGCGCGCAAAGTCGTCATCCTGGTCACCGATGGCTTCATGCACTTCGCTGGCGATGGCCTCCTGGCGGGCATTGCGCAGCGCAACGATCGCAAATGCCATCTGAATGAGGCGGGCGAGTACACGGGCTCACTGATCTATGACTATCCCTCGCTCGAGGAGATCTACCGGGAGCTGCTGAGACGCAAGATCAATGTCATCTTTGCCGTTACCGAGGAGGTGTTTGGCACCTATAAGGAGCTCAGCGGACTGATGCAGGAGATTAGCAATGTCGAAATACTGAGCGCCGATTCATCCAATATCTTGGAGTTAATCAAGAAGAGGTAAGCGCTGCTCTGTTGAGTATAGAAAAGGATTCTTGGCAATATTCCACTCTCTTTTTATCTCTCTCCGTATTGCGCTCTCTATCTATCGCTCTCTTCCTCTCTTTCTCTTGTTCTCTTCCTCGCTTTCTCTCTATCTCTCTTTCCTTCTCGCTCTTTCGCTCTCTTACTTTCTCACTCTATCACTCTCTCTCTCTCTCTCTCTCTCTCTTTCTCTCTCTCTCACACTTTCCCTTTCTCTCTTTCACTTTCTCACTCTCTCTCTCTCTCTCTCTCTCTCTCTCTCTCTCTCTCTCTCTCTCTCTCTCTCTCTCTCTCTCTCTCTCTCTCTCTCTCTCTCTCTCTCTCTTTCTATCTTTCGATTCCTCCGGTTTCCTCCAACTCTCTTCTTCCCATCCTCTCCCACTCGCTGCCCAATTTACTCCCCCTCCCTCCGCTTCCAGTTATGAGAGCTTTCTAAAGCGCACTCAATTCGGAGACAACAGTCCGGACTTTATAAAAATGCAATACTTTACGGATTGCGCTGGACAATTTCCCAATTTGCGTCAGCGCAATTACTGCAACAATGTGAATTCGGGCAAGGAAATAGAGTTTTTTGTCGACGTAACGCTCACAGATTATCCAGAGAATGGCGCATTGGTAGCGTATGCTTCGCAGTTAATATGAATATTGTAAAAGTTGGCTCAATAAATCTCTGCAGAATCACAAGATACGCGTGGAGGAGGCGTCGCTCAACGAGTACATGGACATCGATGTGGAGCTGCAGCGTCCATGCCCGTGTGTGGAGCAAACTGAGCCGGATGATGAGTACGCGCGATTCCAGTGTGACAATCAGGGCTACTTGAACTGTGGCATGTGCGTGTGCGATGAGGGCTGGGCGGGCACCTTTTGCAATTGTCCGACGGATCCATCCAATGCGACAACGAACGAGGCGCTGTTAAGGACCTGTCGTCAGCCGCTGGATAAGAAGGGCGAGAGCTTGTCCAGCGACGTCTGTTCGAATCATGGCGAATGCGAATGTGGCAGCTGCATCTGTGATCCCGGCTATATGGGCAACTTTTGTGAGTGCCTCGAGTGCATCGACTGCGATGAGGACCGCGCCGAGTGCTATTGCGGTCAATGTGTCTGCAAATACGGCTGGTCGGGCACGCAGTGCAACTGCAAGGAGTCCACAGATGAGTGCACTGGACCGACCGGGGAGATCTGCTCTGATCGTGGCACCTGCGAGTGCGGTGCATGCAACTGCCAGGAGCCGTATCTGGGCGTCTTCTGTGAGATCGATACAGAGACCGACAACAAGCTGTGCCAGTTCTACGAACCCTGTGTCACCTGCCTCATAGCCCAGAAGCAGCGCATCGGCGGCTGCGAGAATGTCAACGAGATCTGCTTCAGCGCCCAGTACAATGAGCGCTTCACCCATCTCTTTGTCAATGAGCTGGAAGCGGAGACCGTTTGCCTAGTGCGCATTGTCAACCAGCATGGCATTCAGTGTGACAGCTACTTCAACTATCAAGTGATCGATCGTGCCAACTATCTGGCCATACAGGCCAATGACTGTGAGCCCCTTAACATGTACGCCATGTTTGGCTATATATCGTTGATAACTGTGATATTGGGTCTGATCATCATTGGCCTGATCTGGTGGTGTCTGCGCATGAAAGACGCTCGCGAGGTTGCACGCTTCCAAAAGCAGCTGGCGGATAATGTGCGCCAGGAAAATCCCATTTACAGAAATCCCAAAACCTATTACGAAGTGCCCAAGGCCTTGAGCGCTAATTTCACTGAGAATCCATTTGCCAATTAGCATGGATCAGTCAACAATAATAGTTGTATTAAACTAGTATTAAGCTACAGGAGCTAGATTAAGATTAAGGCCAACAAGTGCCAAAGCGTCAGACACTGAGCAAGATAAGCTTAAACTTCTACATTAGCTTAATATATATTGTCCATAATATATTCCAGGTCTATTTACAGAGAAGATGTTTAGCCTGTCATCAAATATTAAGGCCTTGTTATGCACTGTCAAGAAATATAATAAATATATTTCATTTAAAAATATTTTTAATTATTTTTTAAAAACTTGTTTTTCAAAACAAAAAAGTAAATTAAATTTTTGCTGTATTTATAAGCGCCAAACTTATATATTTTAAATATTTTTAAAAATTAAAAACATAAATATATTTAAAAAATAATAATTTTTTTTTAATATAAGAGAGTGCTTTTAATTTTTTTATTGTTAACAGATATAAGTGGTTTCTTTTTTAATCAGAATTTAATTTGCATATTTTGAGAGCTATAAAATTGTTTTCAATATTTTATGTACATTAAAAATTCATGAAATTAATTTAAGTAATTTTTAATGAATCACAAGCTTATATATTTTTTATATTATATTTATATTTTTTATAATTTATATTTTTTATAAATATAAAACATTAATATTTCCTCGACGAAAAATGGTTTACAAGCAAAAAATTCAAAAATGTTTTTATACATTTTTATAAATACAAATTAAATTGTTAGTCCATAAAAATTTAATATATATTTTTATTAATATATTATGATTGTTTTAAAATAAAAATGCATTTTTGTGTTATATTTAATATTTATATATTTATCTTTTTATATAAAGATATATTTTTAAAATAGTTTCAATCGATAAATTATTTGTATCGTATTAACTAAACATTCGATGCACACAAAATGGTATTAGCTAATTTAAATGAAAACGTTTTTTATTTTTTTCGACAAATCTATTTGCCTGCTAACTAAGTTTTAGTTGAATTGGTATTAAGAATAGAGCTAATTAAGAGTTAAGAAAAAATATATGTTTTTATATCAAGTTGCTTATAAAAGAAAAGTTTACCTACGGCAAAAGTCGATTGAAGAAATCACTCGGCCTACGCTATAGAAATTGGTATATGTAACCCGATGCAATAGCGGATTTAACTAGTTTTAGAATTATACGATTTTTGCGTATTAAGAAGAGCTACAACCGAAGGGAAATGCTTTTAAAAACCTGACTGCTGACTACACGTTCGTTCGACTCCTTCTTTCTTACACTGTACAAAAATACGAATCAGCATTTAAAGAACTAATCGTATCTGAGGGCCCCGTGGGGGGCCATCATAACTAAATGTAATATCACTAGACTCGTAGCTTAAAATTACTAAATGTGCTTCTGACCACGAATCCATCCGCAAATCTACCGCGGACGTTCGTTTGGCCAACAAAAAAAAGTAACGTAAGATAGAGAGAGAAAAATTGCCAAAAACACAAATTCAATTACACACATAACTCGTAAAATGCAAAAGCAACAAATACGCGAAGGCAAGGGCGATGGCTGCGGCGGCGGAGGCACTGCTCAGAGCACACGCTCCCCTAATGAAGGAGTCCGCTGGATGAGCATCGAGGGTGATTTCGCTGGCAGCGTGGCACTGGCGCTGCTCAACTGAGCATCGAGGGCAGCCATGTCCGCGGCAGTGGATGAGGATATGATGTTGGCATTCAGCTTGCCATGGCTGTTGTTCTGGCAGTTGCTGTTGCTCGTGTTGCTGGAGCTGGGCACGCCATGCGGCGAGGCATCGGGCACCAGGCGACGCAACAAGCCGCCCACACAACCCCAAGGGAAGGTCCTGTGAATAGGCAAAAAGAGAGAAAAAAAACCAAAATGAGACACAAAACAGAATAAGGTAAAGGTAAATGTTATGCATTATTAAAGTGAAACACATTAAAGCAGCACCATTAGCCACGGACCATGGCTGGGGTGTTTCAAAGACCCAAAGTAGAGTGGGCTGCATTTCCATATATATTTCAGTTACAGTTACAGTGATTCCCGCACTGGATAATAATTCACAGTTCGAATAGAAGGCAATGAAAATGCACATCACAATGGCTATAGTTCAGATTATTAAACAATAACTTTTAATCGACATTTTTAGGGGTTGTTCGTGCTGGCAGCGCTGCGTAATAGATGAAGCTAGTGGTAGAAATGTATTCTGCAGATATATTTATATATATATATAGATATATTTATACTTCTTATACTTCTTGTTTGTTTGCTCAAAGCTTAAAATGAAACTCTAAGAAGTATATATTTGCTATCATTTATATTATGCAGCATTAAGGTTACGGCACATGCTGCTACATCAAATTGTGGCATTTATAATTATAATATATACCATTTGATTGGTCCTAAAGTTATGCTTAAGCTAACTTTAAAAACTATGCTTTTAGTCCTTATCAAAAAATTTATTTTAATTTATCTACATTTCATTCCATTTTTCTTAGTTTGATTTCCTTCTGGAAACATTTTAGGAAACTATTTTGATTTAATAAACATTTAGCTGAATATAATCAAATTATGACTTTATTTAATAGTCAGAAAATAAAAAACTAAGAATAGTATTCAGATTCAGATATAAATTCATATAATATAATTTTATAATTTCATAAAATATTTCAGCTGTATTTATGTGAGGGAACATTTAATGATCTATATTTTTAAATAAATATATAACATATTACTATATTACCTAATAGAGATAACTCGACATACTTTTATACAAAATATAGTCAAGTATTCCTTACGCAATCAAAACTGTACTAAAATTTGTGCTAACCTCAACTAAACTCTCTTTTGCACTTTCCAATCTTCTTATACTTGCTTTAAAAAACATTCTCAAAATTGTTTCTATAGCTGTGACGGATGTGTTTAGCTTATTTCGTAGCCTCATTAAGACATTTCGTTTTGTGTGTTTACTCACCACTTGAAGGACAGCAAGAACTTGAGGAAACTGGGAATGACGGCAAGCTTCTCGTTCTTCTTAATGGCCAAGATGATGCGATCGGCCACATCGTTGGGATTCAATGTGGGCACCCATCTGCAACAGAACAGTTTAGCTGTCAGTATATTACCGCACGAGCAACGCCCATAAACGCGCTCACCTGGCATTCACATCGTCAAACATGCCCGTTGCCTGTATGAAGAACGGGCAAATGCAGGTGGTTTGTATGTTCGTATGTCCGAGGACTTCCAGCTCCAGACGCAGCGCCTCATCGAAGCCAACCTGCAATTATTTCGTGCGCAAGTTTGTAGTGAAAATACTTGTATACATTTGCATGCACAGTGAGCGAGTGAATACTAACCGCTGCAAATTTGCTGGCACAGTAATCGACCAATTTGCTAATGCCAACATGGCCAGCCAGCGAGGCGATCGTCACGATGTGTCCACGTTCCTTCTCGATCATTTTGGGCAGAAACGCTTTTGTGGTCTGTGCAATGACAACGAGTTATTATTATACCAAGTGTGTGTGTGTGTATGTGCGTGTGTGAGTTCAACTAACCCAAAAGTGTGCCATAACATTCACATTGAACGAACGCTCGATCAAATGGTCCGGCGTATCCAACAGATGCAGCCCAGACACAACTCCAGCATTGTTGATCAGCAAGGTAATCTGCAAAGGTAAAACAAAATAAAAAACGTTTTAATGGATTGTCGTAAAGATTTACTTGGCTTCTGTTTTGGGCTCTTATTGTTTGTGATAGCCAATTAAGTTTTAAATATAAATAAATCCGTTTTCACCAATTCACATGTGCAGCAAAATCTTGCAACAAATTGAATAATTCTGAATTTGCCTGCAGCTGTGCAGCAACTTGACTTCAGAACACCTTTCATCTGTGTTATTGCCTGTAGTTTATTATGTTTAATTAATGCTAATGATTCTTGAAAGTGTTTGAACCAAGCAGAAACATTCTCGTCTGATTTAATTGTAGCTTTCATTCAGCTAAGTTGATTAGGGTTGGCACACACAAACAATCTAACAAACAATCTAACAAATAATGCTTTACTAACAAACCTTGCAGAAATGGGTATTGCCTTAGATAATTTATATTAACATTATTATAGCAATATAAAAGAACAGATACCAAAAAGCTAAGACAGGTGCAATAGGTCTTCGTTCAATTTGTAATAACATCCATACATAACTAAGATTTATTGAAATATTAAATAAAATTTAGTAAACATTTTATGTTTTCTATTCATATTTAACTAGTTTTTTATTAGTTATAAACCTTATAAATCTTTAAAATGTATATCAGTCACAGCTAACTTAAAATACCTTAACTATCTGTTAGTTGAGTTTGCTTGCTTAGCCTTTCTCAACCTGTATTTAATATATTAATAAAAAACTGCACATATTTAAGTTCCATTTCCTATATATATATATATATATATATATATATATATATATATATATATATATATATATTTATATAGATATATACCCATATATATATACCCATTTCCACCCATTTGTTAAATAATTCGTTACGGTTCCAAATCAGTTGCCGGAAAGCGCTCATAAAAAAGGTGCAATTATTATTACAAAACTTTTTTCGCTGTTCAGTTGAAATCTCAATGCGTAATTTGTTATGAAGATGCGTTGGAAACGAATGAAAATAAAATAAAAATAAGTGTAACATGTCAAGGTCTAATTGCGAATAATGTAAAATGCTGCTTGAAATATAATAAATATGATTTCTTCAATTAAAAGCAAGCGGCGTAGCGGCTATGGCTGCTGTTGCTACTTAAACAAGCTAACAACAAGTGCAACATTTCATTTAACAAGGAAAGCTATCATAGCAACAACAGCTGTAATAACTACGTACAACAAATCCAGGCCACAGCGAGTTCAAGTGCACCGCGAATGGGCGAACGGAATGGGGAATGGAGCTGCGACAGCGGGTCACACGTTGCGTATGCGCGATTTCAAATAATAAGAAAACAGAAACAAATAATAAAGAAAAAAAAATACAAAACAGAAAAACATTTAACGAGGCGTGCATTAAAACAACAATAGCAAAGCAATAGGCACAACACAAAGTTATTAAAAATATTAAATGTACTATTTCAGAGACCAGACGGCGACAACAACAACAACAACTTGAGAGACTCACAACAACTACAACAAAAGCAACGCGTCATCTGCATAACGCATGACTTACTAAGTAGTTAAAATGTTTTTTGCTCATTTGTGTTGCTGTTGTGAATACCCTGTAACTTATAGAAACGGGGTGTGCTTTGTGTGTTTGTCTGTAACTAAAACTGCATTAGTTAGCTAAAAGAAAAGTAACACAACAAATTTTTTGGATTGGATTATATATACATACAGCTGGGCAATTATCAATCCAACCCCTTAGTGACTGGAGCTACTGGATCTTTTTTGCTGTCGAACCTTTTCTATATTCTATAATTTATATTCTATATTTTATGTTCCATTTATATTAATTCCTGTTTTTATATTTAACAACTTAATTTTAACTTTTTGCCACAAAATACAGGGTATTTTCAGACAGCATATTAAATATAAGGAGCTACTTCTTCATGCTTTTTTCTTAACTCATATTCTCTCCTAGCCAGCCTTAAGCGTTAAGATCTCTAGTCTCAATTAGTTTTTTATAACTATTTTGATAACTTTATTCTAACCATTTTTATACATTTTTGTTTTATATGTTTTTTAATTATATTTTGTTGTTGTCTATGTTTCTAGCTAAAGTTAAACAATTTGAAGTTTTTACGCTAATGATTTTAGATTTTTTATTATGGTTGTTGTTCTTCTTGCTAAAGTTGTCAGATCGTTAATATCTTATGTAGAATTAACCGCTGGCCAAGCGTAAAACGTGTTGAACCCTCATAAAGCCTCAGCTGATACAAGCTCTGCAACAATTAACTTACCAAAATTGTTGATCATTTTGGGCTTGTCGTTCTATAGAACAATAAATGTTTGTGTTTTTCATAAATTATAGTGGGTCTTTATAGTAATTATAGAACGAATATTATAGAGTTCAAATAAAGTTCAAATGCCAAACAAAATTATATATGTTTAGCTTTAATAATACGTGAATACGTACAAAATTCCTGTCTAATGATTTCACAACTTCAGCGTCGACCTTGACTTAGCATGCATTAGCTATTGAAACTGGAGAGTCCTAATTAGTCAGGTAAACACAGGTAACCAAAAATAATTAACAGGCAAAGGGCCAACTTTAAACAGCTTATTTGTATATAATTATAAAATATATAAAGTTGAGAAGAAATAAAAATCAGCTGTATACGATAAGCCGCAAGCATAGAACTACAGGTATAATAATTGAAAGAGGTGCAAGGCGTAATTAGAGTTAAGCAAGCTGAAAGCAAAATTTAATGCAAAATAAACGATTCAAAAAACTTTTTAATTAAATAAAACTTATTGTAAATTAAGTTTAAAGAAAACAGAATATATATAAATAAATAGTTCACGTTAGTTCATAAATAAATAGTTCCTATGCTAAATTATATTTTTATGAAATAAAATGTATTTAAATAAAATGTAAGCTATTCCTATGTTAAATTATATTTTTAAATAAATATTTCAATGCCTAAGAAGTCTTCACAAGGCTGTGATAAATATAGAAGCAATATAGGAATTTTCTGCTATCATTAAAGTCATGAGTTGGCACTTTAGACTTTAATTTAATCTAAACCTTTGATATATACATTTAATTAGGTTACTCAGATTGCGTATTATAAAAAAGATAAAGAATCAAGTTATTTATGTTCCTTTGTTAGTCTGTTTCATAGTTATTAAAAATGCTGGTTTAGTTTGCGTTTTGGTTCAGTTAATTTATGCGTTTAAAGTCAATAAATGTTGGCTGAGAACTGGTTCGAAAAGAGCGTTAAACAGTCTACAAAGACTGGATTACTATGTTCTATAAGTTAGTCTGCATTCCAACCTTTAATTAGTATTCTTTTTCAAATATAGACAACGTCAATGCGTAGACTAATGATATAACCCCATTGCGGAAGCCATCAAAGCTAATGTGAATGACGAAAACTGATGCGCTTGCCGGACTTTCGACACTTTGGCAAAGCTCCGCTAATCACATTAGCAACTGCACTCCTCGCTGACCAGCAGTCGGCAGATAGCACTTGGCAGTTGGAAGGCAGCATTCGACAGGCGGCAGTCAGCGTTCACAGTTGCATTCACAGTGATAATGAATGCCATGACACGATTTGTGGCCCGAACGCTTTGCCGTTGCAATGGACATCGCCTTGGACAGTTTGGAGGTATACATATTTTTTTTTGCTTCTTATAAGATTTATGCGTTGCAGTGAAGCTGCGTTCGGGGGCAGTCACACAATTAGTGGCTGTGAATTTTATGCACTTTTAATGTGCATCCCAAATGGGCGTGGCATTGTGGCAGTGGTCGGCAGCAGCTCGTGCCAGTTGCGATTAATTTGAATGCAGGTTGTGATTTTGCCTCGGCCAAGGCAGGGGTAAACTGGTAAAAGTTAAAGGCAGCGAGTGCTCCACATTGTGATTAATTGCCAGATGCAACGCAAGTGGCAACCAGTTCGAAGACTCGTCCAATGGTCACTTCTATCTCTCTCTTTCTCTACCATTTCTCAAGGTTGACTGTGGCACGTTGAAAATGCGCTCATGCATACAAATTTACGTCGTGGGGGCCAGCGTAACACAATTTATGACATAAATATATGCAGAAGATGTGTTGCTCGGGGGCGTGGCTGCATCGAGAGTGTTTGGGCCTACATGTGTTCATTCTAAATAGCAACAACAGCAAAACGAAGAAGGGTTCTGGCCATTAAACGCCCCTCAACAAACAATTACGTAGCGCATAGAGGCGACTATTTTAAGCGCTCAACTGTGAACGGCAATTACAAGAGTTTTATGCTTCAATTGACGCGCACATTCCACAAGTGCGTTTCTTCCCCTTTTGCCCCCCTTCGCCGTATGGTACTTACATCGCCGACTTCTTCTCTGATGACATCGGCCGCTTTGTAGACCTCCTCTTTCTTTGATATATCCACCACATAGCCCTTGCAGTAGCCGCCCGCCTCTTGTACGATCTCAACGGTCTCCGCAATGCCTGAAAGGTTATGAAAATTACATAAGTATCAACTCTCACTCTCACCCTCTTTTTCTCTATTTGCCTTACCCTTTTGATTAATGTCCCAAATGACAATTTTGGTGCCCATTTTGCCCAGTCTTTCGGCGAGTTGACGACCGAGTCCATTGCCGCCACCTGTGATTAATGCAACGTCCGTGTTGAGTTCCTTTTCGGGATAGCCGAAGGCGATGTAATAAAGGTCCTGCACGAAACAAAAGATAAGAGAGGTGTTAATAATTATACAGGAAACAGCGAATTAATTGAGGCTAAGTAATTAAAGGCGTCAAATGTTGCAGCAAGCAGAAATTTATGCGTTCAGTTTCCTAAAATTAAAATTCAAAACAAAACTGTGGGAAATTTACATTCAGCATATGAAACCCTTACAAAATCTTGATGTTTCTGTTAAAAACCTTTTGCTGTTCGACAATGTTTTGTATGTAAATCCAAGACAAAGCCTTCAGCCAAACATTTGGACACCGTATTTGCATCAGCTGCTTTTAGTTGAACCGGCATTTGTTAAATGTCAAATGCGACAACAAGTTTGTTGCCTAAGTCTTTTGTTTTAACCCTCGTCATTCTTGAGGCTTTCCTTGCGAGTGCTGCCAACTGTCAGGCAGTGTGCCAATATTAGTGCACAAACATGTTGTTCCATATGTTAATTTTTGGCTCTTTTTTCTCTGCAACAAAACCAACAATGACAAATAACATAAATGGGCAAACAAATCGCTGATAATGCGAATTGTCTGGCAGTTGGCGGTAGCGTGTTAATAGACGTTGAATTTGACGCCTCTAACTGGGTAAATACTTGAAATATTTTCAACTTCTTTGAAAGATATTTCAGGTCTTCTGACTTTTCTGTTGATTTACTGTCAATAAGCTGTCAAAATTTATGGCTCGCACGTCTCCATTGTCGCATAAAGATAAGAAAACACGCGGGCAACAAAATTGCTAGCGACCAGCAACAGCAACATTAACATAACATTTTACTCATTTTTTCGGGAGGAAACAATAATACAACAACGGTAACAACAACAGGGGCAGCTAAGAGGCAGCACAGTGGCACTTTCCATCTCGCTTGCCACCAGAGGCGGCTCATAAATTTTCGTGCCACACGCGACGTCAACATCGCGTCGGCCCGCAGTCGTCTCGCTGGGCTCTGCAATTGAGCTTCAGCTCGGGGTGCAACATCAGCTCAGGGGCCAGCAGCAGCAGCAGCAGCAACACTGGCAAGCGTGTCCAATTATTTTGACATTAACAATGAATGTGGCGCAACGTGTGTTGTTGTTGCTGTTGCTCTGCACTCATGTGACGGCTGCACACAGGGTCTCTTATAGTTGGGCAAGTGTTTAGAATACTCAACTGGATAAGGTACTCTAGTCATATATATGCTTAAAAACTGTCTTTAAGCTTTAAATTTATCTGTTTTTTTTATATTGATTGTTTATTGAAAGTAAATAGCTTGAAGCATAAAACTGGGCTTTCTGCAAATGAATTGTTGATATAATTTATAGTTAACTTAATATCTAAAGTTTTGATTTCTGAACCCGGTCTATTAGATAATGTCATGCTTGTTTAAGTATTTTAATAGGCGAATAGAGTTTTATGACTGACATTAATAATATAATATTAAAAAAATATATGTCTATTAAAAAAATTTGTATTTTTCTAAGATTAAGTCGTAGTTTTCTAGTTAGAGCTTCCTTCTCAAGTTCTAACTTTTGTCAAGCCAGTTATCATGACGTTTGTAGCCCTTCAGTTGAGTTAATTATAGACTGGTTTCATAATTAGTTAAAATTCAAGTTTAAATCAATTAAACCTGAAGACATAAAAAAACTATTTTTTAAATGAGAACGCATAACACGACCGAGTTAGATTATTTATAAAAGTTAAATATTTTATAAAATAATAATTTGTTATATATCGAGTATAGGGTATACACCTAGTCCATATAACTCAACGAGCAAAGTTTGCCTTTTAGTTAGCTGCAGTTTGCCCCCAAAAAAGAAGAAAATAAAAAATGCTCATAAATAATACGAAAATTCATTAAGGGTAACATGTTAGCTGGTGTCCGGCGATGATTATGATGAATATAATGATATGAGATAATAATGATCAGTTGCTTCTTTCACTTGTTGCCTTGTTGACAGACATTTTGTCACATAATTGAACATGCAATTCATGTGCTTTTTTCCGTCTCTTTGTCTCTCCTACTTAAACAAGGGCAGGAAATGGCCCATTATAATTTATGCATAACATGATAATAACTTAAATATGTGTCTGCTGCGATTTATGTCAAGAGATAAACTGTTTTTTTTTTTATATATTTATATTTTTAGTTATATTTTCAAGAGCTTTTATATGGGAACGTATGCCAAATGCCCAACCCTTTGAAAATTATCTCTTCACACATTCAAGTTTATGTAAAAATAAAATAAGACTTAAGGCCGAATAAAAGTGAATAGAAGACCGCGGAAGTCAATTCTAAAAGCATAAAATTTGCTTGTTCTATCTCTGGCCAATAAAGTCCATGCATGACTTGCCTATATGTAAATGCAAACATATACAAAACTTTAACAAAGTCGTGCTCGCATCTGAATATGCTTTGTCACTTGACAAAAAAAAATTATATATATATAAAAAACTGGAAATCATTTTTCACAATCTGTCTTTTGTAAAAGCGAAAAACCTGCTTAGTCAGCATCGAATTTGTAGGGTCTAGGTTTATTGGTCTATTTTATGGTTTGTTAGAGTGTATATTTGATTGTCAAGGTAAACGCATTGACCTTTGTAAAAAAATGGAAAATTACCAAAAGCTTACAGCTTCAGCTATTGACGTACAAATGAAGCAAAGTTGGGGATTTTTTTGATAATTCTTTATAGATTGGCTGGGCATAAGTCTCCTAATGCCAGTTAAGTAATGAAATTTGAAGGTATTTATAAACATGAAATATTTTATTTAATTTATAACAGTCTCAAGGTAGCGTTAAGATTGGAAGATATCAAATTATTTATATTATACATATAAAAGTGCTCAACTAGAAGATACCCGGCACAATTTTCATTGCCAGAAACTTAAATTTACGCTTACATTTATGCAGCTTGGCCTAATATCTAACTAATTGAAATTTATTTTTCTTATAATTACTACTTTATATATTTGATGACATTTTTAGTTTACATGTCCATTACTGGCTAATTTATATTCATATTTATTCTATTGGGAGTCAAAGTTTATTAAACTCTTTATTTATATATCAATTTCAATAAAAAAAATAAACAAATTATTCCTCTTTATAAAGCTATATTTAAGTATGCAAACAGCTTCCTATTTTTTTTTACTACAAATTGTTTATCTTGTGGATATTATTTTTTTGCAAACATCATTTAGTAGCTGCGCCTGTTTAAATAAAAATGTTAGTTTATTTTTAGTGTAACTCACATACAGATAACTCCTAAGCAGCTTAATAGAGAAAAAACTCATTACCAATTATACAGACAATCAAGGAAGCTGTAAGATCTAATTGCATCATAATCATTAGCTGTTCGTTAGTCTTAAATCAACATTTAGACACAACGTTTCTAACTGTACAGTATCAATTTATGAAACCCCTGATAGTTGGCAATCAGCATCTGAGCGGGGAACAACTCTTGCGCAATTATGCAAATTTAAACAAAGCAGAAGCCAAAAAGCGACAAGAAAAATATTAGCGACAAAACCGCAGACGAAATTGAATTATGAATGTTGGCATATGCTCACGTCTTATCTAAATGCTAACTTCTAGAGGCGCTAAACGCCAAGCCGCAGCAATGGTAATCAAATGTTTGCTGAGCTGTGCTTGTCTTTGTGTTTGTGTTTATGTTTGTGCTTGGCCAAAAGCAAATGGTAGTCGCTGTTGCCAGAAACTTGTTTGCTTCGTCCGGGAGAATTGCGAAAAATTCAAAATCTAAACGACTTCGTCGACCAGGTGAATTCTAAGCCAGCTGAAAGTGAAACCGCCAGCCGGCGGGCCAACCTGCAAGTCGGCGTCAAGTCAAGTGTCTTGCCCAACAACAAGGCACATATAGCTGCAGCTGTAGCAGTGCTCCCCGCACGACGTTCGACTCCACTCAACTTGGCTTGAATCGAGTCAACGCCAGTCGACTCAACAGCTGCCTTAATTGGCTCGACTTTGGCTTGAGCGCTATTCAATGAGCTCAAAAACAAAAGACTTAAGACACGAACTTGCATGGTGCTGCACTAATGCAACTTCCACTTGCTGCCACACTCACACAAATAGTGACCTTCCTTAAAGCTTTTCTGTATATATAATACTAATAAATAAAATAACAAAAAGTTGAGCTTAAAGAGCGAAAACGGAAAAAGTGTGAAGCAACAAATAAACCTGAACATGAATATTGCAATGACATAAATCTTAGAAAATGGTTGAACAAGATGAGCTAATAGTGTTTAAATAAAACTGGAATAATCGATAAGCGTCTAGACATCTATTTATAGCTCTTCTTAGTATGTCTATATATTTGCCATCAATTTGAATTTATTATTTATTAATTCATGCATTTTGAAGAAAGAACCGACCTGGCAGAAACTATCCGTGAAGTCTAAGCAGGAGTATAATAAATCAGTGTTTCAAATACAGATGCTTGCATAAAGCATTATTTAATAATAATATATTAATAATATTCTATCATAAACTATGAATACATTTTGTTTAATTTCAGTTGAAGATGAAGTAGTGAACAACCTATGCATTGATCTAGGCATGACGCGCACTCGATTTCTGTGCCGTCAGCGCGTTGCGCCCGTTGCATTTTTTGAGGCGTCATCGAGGCGGGTTGCCTTCAAAAGTTTACTTGCCCGGGCAGCTGGTCAATGAATGTGTGTGTAAGTGGTTGTTGTCTTTGTATTTGGCTAGTTGTTTGCTATTATTTGTTGTATTTGGCTTGACTGCTTGCTGTGGCGGGTGGTCGGCCGCTCGTCTGGCAGCCTTCAAAATCCATTTTTATTTATTGCTACGCAGAAATTAACACCCAAAAACTGGTCGTTGGCTTTGTTTTTGTTATTGTTTTGTTGTTGTTGTTTTACAGCTAAAATACCGCAATTGATGTACAGCTAGACGAGCTCATATATATCTGGCAATCGAGTTCTATGCTTTGCCAATCTTGGCCAAAAGTAGTGGAGAAGTGGAATTTGCCGCGCAACTGTGATGTATGCTAAAGATTGCTGCGAAGTCAGCGGATATGGAATGTGTAAAGTCGATATGAAGAATAATGTTCGACCGCAAGTAATTATGTATTATTACAAATTTATATAATTACATATATATATATATATATATCTATTATTATATTTTAGTGAAATTCGGTATTGACCACATAACAAATTGAGGAAATTCGGCTATAGCCTCAGTAATAATTTGACTATTTATTATTGCAAAATTAGTATTAAATATTATATTCATTTCAATATTTACTTAACTTAAGTAAATATTTATGCATTCAAAAAATGTATTGTAAATTATTAATCTATTCTAAAAATAGATGCCATATTTATAAATAAATAATAAATATCTACACAATTTAAATTTGTTCACAATAAAATAAAATAATATTTTACTTTGCTTTGCTTATTCACTGTAACCACGACAGCTATGACTCAGTTGATCAAGCACACCCGTCCGTTTACAGCCCTTTCTATGGAGTGACACACTATCCTAACCCACTTCGCATGTAAGATAATCCAAACAAGTGAGCCAAGGCCGTTATGGGCTATGAGCCTGCGCTTCAAATAACCTCCGCAACGACACACAGTCTCGAACAAAAGCACACTTTATGCTCACATATGCAATACCCAGCAGCTGTTATACGACTTTTATTGTTGTTGTTGTTGTTTTGACCAACACTTTCGATTTCAATTGCGTTTACTTCTTTTATATTTCTTCTTTTGCTGTGCCGGTGCACGCACACACACGCAGACGCACACAGGCGGGCTGATTGCCCGCGAAAAAATGTTTTGCTGTGGCAACAACAGCAGTCGAACCCACAACTAGCCAAGCTAATAAAAACAGGCTTCATAGCGTTGCAAAGCCGGCAAAATGCAAAAGTTGAACTGGGTCAACAAGCCAAAACGCAGCAGCGCCGCCGACGCCGACAGCGCTGCTAGCGCCGCTGCGCTTGGGAATAATATATGTATTTTTCTGTTTTTGGTATTTTTGTATTTTTTTTTTTTTTTTGAAGTGTTCCCCAAAGCTTATTACAAGCGCCCGCCAGACAGTTCCAGAGACTGTTGGTAATATGGGCACGCCTTCAAGCGGGCAAGTTTGTTGCCTAAGTCTTTTGTTTTACATGGGCCCACTAAATCAAGAATGCAGCGACACAAATCAGATTAATATCGAACTGCATCGAGCTGATTGTTGTGAGCCAAAACCCATTATTAGCACAGTCAATCAGTATGCAATTGCAAATATAACAACAGCAATAACAGCTGGCAAGTCATCGCTGTAGCGTCTTGGGCGAATCTTGAAAAAGATTTACATGCAAATTAGTTTTGGCTCGTTCATAACTCGTTGTTATTGCATTCAGCATGCAAATGTCAACATTTTTAATGGGCAACGCCTCCAATGCGTCTCCGTCTCTCCCTCTTTCTCTCTCTCTCTCCCTCTCTGGCTGTTTTCCTCCTACTATGTCTCTATGCAGTTGGCATCATCCGTCGCTTAGTTAAGCATTCAGGCAAAGAGAGTTACCTCGGTAATTTAATGGCACTCATGCATAATAAGACCGAGGCAAATACATGATATACATGCTATATTTAATGATCATATCTCTCATACACACACACACTCAAACATACTCTCACACACATATATAGACATATAAGAGTAACGCCGCAAACTAAAAAGGTTTCGTTTTTATCTTTGTTGCCAAAGTGAAATTAATATAATTATGTAGCACAACAAAAAACCTACAAAAATTGTTCGCTTATGTAATGCTGCGAAATTTGTTTATAAAACCGAGCGTGTCAATTTGACCACAAAAAAAAAAAAACAAAACAAAACAAATACAAAAAAATATAAAATATTTTTAAAATAATATTTCCCCTTAAGCCTAAAATCCGAATTCTTTGTTAACTAGCCATAAATTTCAATTGCGTGCTTTTACAGCAATTAACTGAATTTGTTGGCCCTTTCGGCGTCAGGTAAGTGCAAATCATTTAAAATCTTGAAAACGTTTAGAGCTCGCATATCTAAAATGTGCAATCAGTTTAAGTGCTTGTCGTCTAAGCTATAATTAGGCTTGTTTCAGTCAATATAAGGGGATTTCTTCTTCTTTTTTGCTACTTGGCATGAAGATAATTTACAAAAACTAAACACGACCGGATTTGACTTTAGCTTTAACTAAAGATAGTCTTACGAATATTGCTGCGCAGTATTAATATTTTAGTAAAGTACTTTTAGAACAGGTTTTGCGGGCTAACAAGATAATTGTGAAAGGTTACATAAAGTGTTCTAATTTAAGACTGTGTTTATGATGGTGCACAGTATATCTGAATTAATTGTTTACAATGTTAGGGTGGATAGAAATTACATTTTCAACTACCTTCCTAAGACTGAATTTCTAATAAGCATTATCTAATCACTTTTAATAATATTGGTACACATGCCAATAACTACTGCATTGTTAATTGACTTGTTTATTATTCAATAATTCATATTTGACTTAAGCGCAAAGTACGTAGCAGTTAGATTTATTTAGAGAAACATTGAGCTTGAATAAATTATTTCTTAATTAAATAATGGAGTGTGTATTTGTTAGTTCAACGTATTAGAAAATTGGAATCCGCCTGCAGCAAATTGTTTACTTGGTTAACCTAGCATTTATCGATTTAATTTAACGTAATTATTTAATCAGCCAAAACAAAGATGCTGATATACATGTTATGGGCATAACGATTCGAGATTAAAGATCGCTAATAAAAAGTAATCATGCGCGTGCCGATAATGACAACCATAAAAGGTAGATGAGGCTGTGCAGCCTTATTGATAAACCACGCAGAGTTTTATTTCTTTTAACAAGCAGCCAAGAGCAAGGGCACTTACGCTCTGCCCACGAATTCAGGCAGTGAAAATAAGTGGCACAAAAACGAGTTTTTATTTTTGGTGATTTTGTGAATTTATGTCATTTATCAAGTGCATTTTTTGAATAACAATCCAAAGGCAAAAAATATAAAAAATTACTTTCGATTTTTTACACCAAATATTATTGAAATCATTAAAGATTTTTTCGGAAATTAATTTAAATATTTTAGCATACGCTGATCATTTATTTTTGAGACTAAGAAACTGCATTTTGTTTTTTTTTTATTTAATATATTATATAATATTATTCATATTTATTAAAAGCTACATAATTATATTATATAAAATTGAGGAATTCATTTGTATGAAATCAAAATGAATTTCTTAAAATTTTGTTTCAAATAAGACCTTAAAATAAATATTTAAAAATTATCCAATTTTTTTGATATAACCAAAATATTTATTTTTATAATTTATTTCAAAACGAAATTTATCATATAAAGGTTTTTGTTCTCGAATTTGCTATGCCTCTTGCATTTTATTTAAAAAAAATACGCATCTGAATTATATAGATGTTTTATAAATGAAATTGATTGGCTTTATTCAATCAGACAATGCTGTTAATTAAGCTGCTCAGCTGTTGCTGAGCATACGGAAGCATCAGAAATTCAAATGTTCAATAGCAAAAATCATAAACAATTCAAGATTTGTTCAGCATTTGTAAACAAAGGCAGAGTTTTTCTATGCATAACTTTGGCATTGGCTATAGCTCTTAGCTCTTACCTGAAGTATGTATCCTATGCTGCAGATGATGAACCACATGACATCTGCGTACGCATTCCAGGTATTCCATATTCTTTGGCTCCAGCTGGGCGGCTCAGCCACACCCACTGTCGCACCATTGCCATTTTGCAGAGCATGTCCGTTGGTTAACGGTAAAGTATCCGCCTCCAGATTGTTATTGTTCTTCACCATTTTGCGACACGAATTTTGTTGCACTTGTTCTTTATGTTTTTGGTAAATTATTTTCTGTTAAAAATCTGATCACATTTAATTTATTTTCGTAACGGTTATTATTTGATGCAAACGAAACACAGGTAAGCAAGACAATAACAATAACAATGGCAATAACAAATAGCAACAACAAGGCGAGACTACGAAATTTTCTGTTGTTGCTTGCTTTACGTTTTGTCTTTATTATGTTTTTGCGTTTATTTTATATTTTTCGGTTTTGTTTTGTATTTTTGCTTTTGAATCTGATTTTCCGCGCTGCACGTCCGCTCTCGTGAGCGTAGCAAACGAATTTGAACGAAAGGAATGAATTTCGACTTCTTATTTTGGGGCGCTATTGGATATCGCCGTTAACGTCGCTGTCGCAGCCGCTGTCGACGTTGTCGTTGTCGTTGCCGTTGCCGTTGCCGTTTGCCGTTTGCTCAGCCTCTGCCTGAAGCTTAGCCGTGTGACGTCACGAAGCTTCAGCAACAGCTGTTGTTTTGTTGTTTTGTTTTGTTTTTATCTCGCTAAAAAGCAAAAGTTTCACGTCGAGCTTCGAGTAGCAACTGCGTTCTTTTGACGCTTTACGGTAATTACCATAGCTCGCTTTAGTTTGTGTAATTTAATAAAAGCTCAACTCTATGTGTAGTTGATTTCTTTATTGTTGCCCACTGTACACACAAATTAATTGTTATTTATGTTGGCTTAAAAGCTTTAATCATTATCAAGCCAGCTGCATTTGCTGCTCACCTAAAGGTATTTCATTTTTATGCAAACTCATTAGCTAGGGGTAATTAATTAAAGACTTTTGTTGCAATTATAAGCTGTGGGTTTCTTAAAGGGTAGAGTTGTGCATGAACTTTAACAAATGTTTGAAAATCGTAATAAAAACATTACTGACAGACTAATTAGCAACAAAGCACTTTGAAACCCATTTCATAACTAATTTCATATTTTCCTACACTCTCTATGAATGATCTAAATTTAAGGCGAGAGAATCATAAAAAATATATAAGTAACCGACTAATTGACTAATTAGGCCTTTGAAACATTTTAAGAGACATTTATTAACAAATTTAATTTTGTATGTTAAAAAACTTATTCGCTTTTTAATGATGATTCAAAGATTTTAACAAAAAAACCTTGCCTAATTGATTTATTATTATATTTTCCGTATTTTTTCCTAATTTTTGCTTTTAACTGTTAAACACCTGTTGCTGCCCCAAACACTAACTCTTAATACTCCTCTTTATGCTTACATACTTATCGTTGCTCAAGAGTGTTTAAAGCCCTTTCCAACACTTAAATCACTTGCTTATGGCTTTTCTGCTTATCATCATTCCACTTTCACAGCTGACCTATCGCATATCCTCTATATTTCTTCACTTTCCTTTAGCTCAATTCTGATTTATGCCACAGACGGGATTTTTGCTTGCTCGAGCAGCAAAGGAAAGTGAAATTACGCACTTGCATTAATTTCCATTGTTAATGTTCTCTTTATGTCTTCTCTTTTGTGTGGGTTCGTTTTTTTGCTCATCTGCATTTAGAATATTTGCATGTCTATACCCTGGACCCATGCGAGCAAAGGTGCATATTACTTTTATATAACTAATGTGAAAATATATATAATATTTATATAATAATAAATTTATATAAAAAATATACTTAATCCAAAATCAAAGTCTTCAAAAAAAAAATCTGTGGGTATATGCCCCAATTTAACCATAGGATATCTGTTAGTCATTTACTTTTCTATATGCAAACACGTTATGCAAATGTTCAAATTTTCGTTTGATTTTTTTAGTTTCTTATCGATTTCGTCACATATTTTAGGTTTATTTAATTTATATTTTTTGGTTTCGTTACGTGCGTATTTTAACATTCTTATTTTCATTTGCATTTTTAACAAGTATTTGCAGTCTGGTGCTTGGGGTCAAAAACCGCCAAAAATATTTAAAGGCCGTCTACAATTTGGTTAGCTGCATACATGATAATGCAAAATTGCAACTGTGTGCGTGTTTTGGTGCATGAGTATGTGCATTTATGCGTTTTGTGAGGGGGCGAGGGAATTGTCAGCCGTAATAGTGAATTGCATAAATCTTGAGAGGCGACTTTTGATACACTAGAGACACTTTAAAAAGCTTGGAGATTGGTTGAGTGCACTTCTAAACTTCAAATATTTTATGCAATATTATGAACTTAATTTACATATCAGCATTTCACAGCGCACTTGCTTTTGATTTCACAATATTTTTTTAAGGTGGAACCAACTGCACAGCTGTGTTCTTCAATTGCAGACACGCCATTAATATTAAAAACCAGCTTTATTAGTTAATTATTTTATTGGCATAGTTTACTTCTGTTTGCTAATTGCCTTTTGCATTTGATTATATTTACTTTTTACTTTTTCAACGTCCTCTTGTGACTAATTCGTTGACATTTGTGACGCATGCGTCAAACACAAGAACAAAACTGAAAAGGGAGAGAGACAAAGAGAGAGCGAACGAGCAAGCGGCTTTTGTAAAGCGTGAGAGCAGGCAATGTGGAAGGGCTCCGGTTGTGATTCCATTTAGCTTCTTATTTATTTTGGTGGTGGCATTTGTGAATAAAAGAGAACAGGAGCAAGAGCGCATGCATATTCTAAGCGACAAAAACAGCTGACAGCTTTGCAGTGTTGGCTAAGAGTCAAATATATTCAAATAATTGCGTATCAGCCAATTAGCAAATCTTACAAATATTTATCGCGAAGTCAAATGTGTTTTCTTATTTAACTAGCTTTTAATATGTTATTCGATAATTTCCGCTTTATTAGCTCGAAAAACAAAAAACAACATTCTCTAAAAATCGTATTTCCTTTTTCTAAATGTTGCATAAACAATTTAACCTCGTGCCCTGTTGACCGCGCACTAAAAATATGTTAATCCACGAAGATATAAAAAATCAAACTTAATCATATTGAAAATAGTAAAAGATTCATTTGGCCGACCTTGCCGTTCGCAGAAAACCCGTTAGAACCTCATAACGAAATTAGCGTAATTTACTGATCTTAGCCATTTGTCAAAGATTCAAGCGCTGGCGCCAATCGCCGAACTTTAACCTATTTCACTTCCTCACACGCGCACGCACACATATAGGCATTATTATAAAAAAAAACGCACACACACATGTGTATTAATATTCGTTTTAGCTCTAAGAATTCTTGTTTGTGAAGCGCGGAGTTTGAAAACTTCCGGCTAAGGCTCCATAGAACGTGTTTTAAACCATGTACGACGAGACTTGGATCGCGGCTCAGACGCTGACGTATATTCTTTTGAATTTTATTTGTTGTTTATATTTAATTGGCTACTGCAGATAGAACAACGTAGCACGTAGACGGTTTCTAATTCCAGTATGGATTGTTCATAATTATAAGCTTACTAATTGTTGCCAAACTTTTTTTCAACGATTTCTTAGCGTCTTTTTTTACTCTTTCAAGGTCAAAATCATGTTGGATTTTTGTCGTATTCAAAGTTTTTTTCAATTGTGTTAATTGAAATTTGTGAGTTGTGAATTTTTCTTTAGAGGAAATAAAATACATCAATTAATTTGATTGAAGTTTTTAAAATTGAAGATGGCTTTGAAATATTTTTATATTTTCTAGAGACCTTTTCAAACAAAATCATTTTATTTCATTATATATTAAAAAAACAAGCAAATAAAAAAGCTTTGTATACTAAATTTGTTTATTCCTCTTTTCATTCTTTTTCAGTATAAAACTATATTATAATTTAATATATTTTTTAAGAGCCAAAGCATAGAAATCTACAAATTTGACAGTTTATTCAATGGCTTAATATCGTAATTTAAATCAATATATCATTAATTTTCGAATAAATATAGTTGGAACAATTTTTTAAATTTCATATTCAATATTTAAAATTTATGATTTCAAATAAAATTTATCTTTCAGTTGACAAAGCGAATTTAGAAATCTCAACACCATTTTAAATATCTTTGTTTAGATTGTAGTAGTTTGTAGACGAACACTTTCCGGTACCAAACTGTCATGAACTTCCGCCGTAATTGACCTACTTAACTCTATGTTAACTCTAAAGGTGTGATGCAAGCGACATTGGGTCTTAATTATGGCTTTTCTTAAAGGCCTTATCGATTAGGCCCTGCACACCCAATATTAAAAAAAAAATAAAACAAAACTTTACTTACAGATAAAAGATGTTGAAGCTATCAAAATGCTAATAAGAAACTCAGCTATAGGAAACAATTTGAATAAGCCCTAACCAAATTTACATCTAAAATATACAAGATATGGCTAATAATATTAATTTTGATACAGATGTGAATTTCTATGGCACGTGCAAAGATAAATATGTAAACTATATACAAGAATTTGATGAGCTTATGACTTGCGTCATTGCAGAGATTAGGGGTAAACAATTATGTAATACTTAACCTTAGGATTTTAATTTTTTGTTTATTAAATGTATATTATTATATAATATACATGATATATATAATAATAATTACATTAATATAATTAGAAATATTTTATATTGAATATATGTATGTATATTTTATTTATATAAAATATTGGACTTTTAGTCCACAACAAAAGTCTTGTTGCACAGTGTAAGCAACGCTTAATGATGCAATCAAAAATAAGTAATATATATATATATATATATAAGTGTTGCTTATATATATATATATACATAATTTACTTACGTATATATTTTGAAGAAATCGCCGGCAACTTGAAGTTATTTATAGGCCGAAAGCATTAGGCGTAAGCTCTATTTAAAGTGCACTTAAACAACCTTAACAAACAAACTGATGACAGCAGCGCATTAAATGCGATTTTAATTAAATTAGTAACCAAATCATAAGTAATAAGGCCAAACGCACAAATGGAGGCTGCGAGATATCACAAACCAAAAAAAGTATTTAATACAACGGTAAGCTGAGCTATAAACAATATAATAATGCCCACATATCTCACAGGTAACTAACAAAAAATAAATAAAAATAAAAATGACTTTAAAGTGATGAGTGCTAAGTGACCGCAGCCTCTAAAATCCAAAGCTCAGCTGAAAGATATAAATGCGCCAAGTCCAAAGTTTTCAACTTTTTTTTAGCTCACTTTTGACAAATGTTTCATATATTATAACTTGGCTTATATATGCATTGGTCCAGCACTTGTCTGGGACTGGTTAGACTTTGGACTAGCCGGCCAATCCAGTTTAATTCTCAAATTCTGAAATCGTAAAACATTTCAGCCCGAACTCCGTTCAATTATTAAAATATATATATTTTTAGATATGTCTGCGTTTTCTGTCTTTTTTTTGTTCTTTCTTCTGTTTAGATTGGGTTTTAGCACACCGCGTGGGCGTCAGTTGCTTCATGGGTACCTGTTATTTATTTGCTCATTCCAGATTATTGATGTCAGCATTTTATGAAATAAGTGATATTTTTAGCTAGTTAGAATATCGATATAAAGTGGCAAAGTAAATAGAACAAAGATTGTAAGCTTTCAATACATAAAGCGATCAAAATTTTTACTATATATGCATTTGATTTCAGTTTTAAATATAAAAAGCCCTGAAGAAATGTATTATTTTCGTATATTTTTATTATAATTTAAAAAAAGTCATTTTTATTATTTATTATTTTCATAATTTCTTAATTTTCTTAATTTATTTAATTTTTAATTTAATTTAAAAAGCATGTTGACTTTACTTTTTGTTTATATTCATTTCAAAGAGTGTTTCATTAAAATGCATCTAAAATCTTCCCCTCCCTCTACCTCTCAGCAAGTATTATTCATATATGCATTCCAAAATTGATGTTAATGAAACTTGGTATATTTTATTAGATATTTGTATTTGTATTTCTTATTTTACTGAACGCAATAGACTGAACCGGTTGAAGCTGAATGAACGAGTTTTGATGGGTAACGCAGCAATAAATATGCTTTTAATTAAATTTTTGTTCGAACAGTCTCAAAATTTATGTGCATCCAACATAAATAGCAAAAGTATATGAATGCAAAACTTTAGCCTTGATGAATTCAGAGATTCCCAGGCTTTATCCTATATTCTATTCTATATATTCTATCGTATTTTATACACTTTCAGCTATAATTATATGTTTTATACCAACTTAGATTTTTGTTAAATATTAAATATATTACATTTTATATTTTCTTTAAATTACCCTTTCAACATTAAGTTTACGATTTGTAAGCAAATAGAAAAGTCTTAGCAAAAAGGCGCGCACATTTGTGCACAAAATAAATGACACTTGCCACGCACTTGAGCCCCGTCAAGAGTGATAAATTCTATTACCTGCCCAATGCAACCACTCGTTGCCATCAAAGAGCAAGAAGCAGAGAGCAAGGCCCGGTGCAATCAACTGTTCGCGTAGACGTAAACAATCGCCAGTGCGCAGGAGCCACAGGAAAATTCTCCCATTCTCTCTCTCTATCGCTGTCAGGGAAAGCTTTCGCTTTTCGTGGCAGAGGAAAAGCTCTAATTGAGCATTCAGTCAATTGCGGCCAATTTAAGTGAACGTTACGTTGCTTTTCTTGTGAGTGCAAAACATAACGAAATAGTTGGCAACGTAGTTGGCCCATAGTGCGGGCTGTTTGTTACGCGTCACGTCGACGTGGCTAATTAAAGGCAATGCCAGGCCGCCAGTGACACAAAACACTCGTAAATCAAAAAAATACGTTCAATAACAATAGGCGAAAGAAGATTATAATGCACTGTGCGAAATGGTTGTGCCTTTAGCATTAAATGACCAACACAAATAAAATTCAAGCAGTGAGCTTCGGGCTGGCAGTTAGCCAGCTAACGTAACCCACAGCCAAAAAGCAGCTAAAACACAAAGGCAGGCCAACAGGAGCGTTCAACTATGTCGAGCGCCAGGTAAAGGCAACCAGCAACCAACCGACCAACCAACCACCCACGCACCACTCTGCATAATTTAGCTCATATGTCATTTTAACAGTTATATGCATCATAGACATTCATGGTCAAGCCTTTTTGGCCAGCATGCATATTATGCTTGATATATTTGTCGTGTAATCAATAAATTGATTTTTGATCGCTTTCGCATGGGCTTTCCAACATTTGCCCGCCTATCCATTGTCTGTTTAGCATTTGTTTTCCTCTATTTTATTTAGTTTCGGGCTTTTCTTATTTTTTTTTGCTTGCAATTTCCATGTTTGTGTCGGCGTCGCACTGACTGGCGCTGTTTGTGCCTCACTCTGCTGTGGTTATTTTGTTGTATTTTTTCGTTGTTTTTCTATTCGACTTTTGTGTGCGCTACACATTTGGGAGCCAGCCTATGCTGCGTATGCGTAATATTTTTAAACATGATTTGAAAATTTTGATAAATCTTGTGAACATGTTTTTTTAAAAGATTTTAAATAATGATCAAGTTCTTTAGAAATCATGTCATATATATACTATAGTATAGTCTCTAAATCTCTGCCTAATTTCGTAGCAATAATTTCAAAGTAGAGATATTAATTTGCATGGAAGCTTTCACACGAGTAGACGAAGAGCTATTAAATAAGATCAATACACAGAAATTAAATATCTCTATTAATATACAATATATATATAAATATTATTAAATAGTTTTTAATAATGACCAAGCGATCCAAAATAAATATAACAGTGCAAAAAAAAGTTAAAAATATAAAACAAAGTTTCTTTGTCTTTCTTTGATGACCTCAACAGAAATTCGTTGTACAATAAATTGGGCTGTTGGTGAAAAAATGACAAATTGGAGTTAATATGTAATTAGATCGCCCTGATGGGAGGCTCTAAAGGGTGTTATCATTTTAGGCTGTCTACTATTTAACCCCTTAGAAATTTAATAAGCTTTTATATTATTATTTTAATATATTAACATAATTGAATATTCAAAGAATATCTCGACTGGTGTTTGTGTCTAAGCTTAATTTTTTGTAACTTATTTTTTTGTTTAAATTTATAATTTATATTTATAAAAATATTTTTTTGTTTAAATATTAATACAATATATAATTTTACAATATATTAATTTTATATATGTTGTAAACTATTATTATTATATTTAAATATTATTTTAATATTATAATTGAATACTGAATTTTTAAATATATTATATTGTCGATACATAAATATTATAATTAAATCAATTTAACAATCAAGTCCTTTTTTTTAAATATATAAAAAAAAAATAATAATAAAATTAAATAAATTTATTTTATTTTAATATTTTATTTTTATTTAAACTTTACTTTTTCTTTTCTTTTACTATAAGTTTAATTTCTTAAATGATGCAAATCTTTTGCATGTAGGCAACCCAATTCCTTTAAGCCTTAGCTTTGTTTAGTGAGTTGTTTATGTCGTTGGCTAGTCACGCACTTTGCTAAACTAAACAACTACACAACTAAGCAACACACAGCAACAGCTCACAGACAGACAGACAGATAAATAGAAAGACAGAAATGATTTTGACATTTATGAGAGCTATAGAGAACGAATGTGCAAATGATTATTTACTCGATATCTAGCTGCAGCTATAAATAGGACAAGAGAGTGTCGCAAGAACTGAAATGAAAAACTAAAAAGCTGAGAAGTAATTGCAGGGAAAATTCGATAGAAGCCACTGAAATTAAGTAGAATAAGCTCAGCCAATTATTTATTCCGTCGGTGAGCCAATTTTGCAAATTTGCTTAGCCGCAGGCTAGCCAGACAATTGCCATATAATTAAGGATAATCGTGGCACTGAAATATGCACGAGCTGTGCATGCGATTACAATAAACAGCAAATTGGCCAAAAAAAGCTTCAATTACGAAACAGGATACACTGCCAAAGGACAAAAGCCCAAACGGTTGAATGTTAAATGAGTCATGCAACAGCTGGGGAGCAAACACAATCCCAGCCCAACAATGCGACACCAGCCGGCTGTCGGCTAGGCGCCAATAACTGTCCATTCTGATCTGCCCTTGTGGGTGGGCGTGTCCCAATTTCACACTTACGTACGGCCAGCATCTCATTAAATTTTAATTGTATTTGCTGTGTGAATTTAATTAATTTTACGATTTTCTCTTCTGTTTGCAGTCTGCTTGATGCGCTTTGCTCCGGCAGCGGCGCTCGCCTGGCGCTGGGCACCTCCATAGTTGCCTACCTGATAGCCTATAATGAGGCTGCCGCACCGGCTCTGGTCTTTGGCACATTGCTGGCCAGCGTCTATAGCGCCATGGCAGGTGAGTAAGCTGCCAGAAGTTATCTTTAAAAGATATATATATAAATATATATATGTATACATATATATTATCTTGTGCCTTACCACAGCGCGCTGCAAGTCGAGTTTGCGTAGCCTGCAAATGCCTTATGTGCGCGCCACAAATAAATTTGACTTTGGCTGCCTTTTCTTGGCCACCTGGATGGACGCACTGACGGCCATGTGCGCCTGTGCAGCGCTGGCACGCACCTTAAGCGCCTGTCTGGACGCCATGACTGGTGGCTTGGCTCGAATACTTATACTGGGTGTGTGTGTGTGCCCAATAGTTGTGCCTGCACTGTAACGACTTTTAACAAATTTCGTTGCCTACTTTCAGGCCGCAACTCGCCTGCAAATGAGCCCTGGCCGGATGTGCTTGGCGTAGCCGTCGTTTTTCTGGTCACTGGCATGTTCATGCTGGGCCTCGAGGTATGCAACTTGCAATACGCCCTCTTTTTTTCGCCAACTCTTACTCCACACCCATTTGCAGCACTCGAAGGCTTTCAGTTTTATTATGACTCTCGGCATGTTTGGTCTGAATGCAATTCTCAGCGCTGTGGGCTGGTGGCGTGGCGATTTTGTGGCCTGGTCGGAGAACTACTTTCAGCCAAATGGCATTAGCAGCGTAAGTGGATCATCCCCCTCATACCCTCTACCCCTCTCTCTCTCTCTCTCTTTCTTGCTCTTTGAAAATGTGGTAATGGGCGTGTTATTGGGTCAGTGCACTTTTCGCCTTTTCCTGAGTTATTTTTTTTTTTTTTATCGATTTTTGGTCGCATTGCTGCCGCCGGCTTTCGTGACTGACGACCATTCAAGGCACAGGATGTGAACTTTTGATTATGACACGTCAAACTAAGTTTTTTTGTTTTGTTTTGTTTTGTTTTGCATGGGATCTTCTGCTTTGCCGAGTGGGTTTTGTGTGTGTGGAGCAATTCGCATTGGCACGAATGTTGTAATAAGTGTTTGCATTGGACTCAGTAGGCTCTACCTCAGGCTGATTTCTATAGAACAACTGAGAATTCTTAGAAATACGTTTGTAACGAATGAGAACTAAACTCTTCTACTCTCTATATGTGAATCTGTCTGTCTCTCTGTCTTGCGCGTCTCCCTCTCTCTCTTCACTCTCTTGTGTTTCTGTGATTCTTTCTCTATCTTTATCTTTAATCATCTAATATTAATTCATCTTTCTTACTCTCTTTCTTACTCTCTCTCTTTCTCTCCCTTTATCTCTCTTTCTCTTTCTCTCCCTTTATCTCTCTTTCTCTTTCTCTCTTTTCTTTCTCTTTTCTCTTCTTCTATCTCTCTTCTATCTTTCTACCCCGCTGTCTCTGTCTAACTCTCTCTTTCTCTCTCTCTCTCTATCTCTTTTTCTTTCTATCTCTCTCTCTCTCTCATTGTTTCTCTCTCTCTGTCACACTCTCTATATTTACAGTTCCTCTTGACCACCGCATTGCTGACCTACGCGTTTCCCAGCATTTTCCCTCAACAGCATCGCGGCTCGCGCACCACAGCGATCATGGTCTTTGCTCTGGTGTGCATTTCGTTGCTGCTAACCGCCATTTGCTTGTCCACAGTGGTGCACTTCAAGTAAGTTAAGCAACAATATCAAAACTTCAAGCTCACAATTCACCATTTCCAACAGACTTCGAGATGACTATGTGGCCGTGCCGCTCTTTAATATTCTTGATGAGAGCGGCTTCCATAAGCTGGTGCCCGCTTCTGCTTGCATGCTGCTGCTGACCAGTTCGGCGGCGTTTATGGAGATTTTTCCCGAGTTGTATGGCATTGTGGTGCGTCTGGCCACCTCGGAGTGGCGCATACTTAGCAAGCAAATCAGCTACGAGAGCTCCGATAGCGGCAATCCCGTCCTGGCCGTCTTCATAGCGGGCAGCCTGTGCGCTATGCTGGCCTTCGCCTGTCCGCTGCAGCATCTCAGCTACTGCCTGGCGGCCAGTCACTTGACAGCTGGCTTTCTGCGTGCCTTCTACTTGCTGTACACGCCTTATCGACCCAAGTTTATGCAGCCCAGCAGCAGTGAGTCTTCCCTCTCCTATAGTCGCCTTTCCACGGCGCCCATTGCCAAGAGCAGCAGCAGCAGCAGCGCTGCCACCAGCTCAAGTCGCGTGAAACGCAGCCTCTGGAATCTCGGCTTGCACAAGCAGCGCGCAATGAAGAAGCCAAAGAACAAGCAAAGAACTAAGCCAGAAGTCGAAAAGGAATGGCTGCTCCTGGGCGAACCTACCTCGCCCTGTCCACAGCGCGAGGGCAGAGATGTGGAGTCCACGGTACTGTCCGACAGTGAGCCACCGGTGAGTCAGGTTGCGGGATTTGTATAGAAGCGTTTTTACCTTTAATTACCTTTCCTTGCAGCCATCTGACTTTGAGTATCCTGATAAGTTTGACAAAACTGATTCAGACACCTCAACGGACATTGATGCTATTGTTGATGAGTATCGTCAAAAGATAAAGGTATGCTCAGTCTATATTCACTCTATTTAAGCTGACCCAACTCCACTTTATGCCAGGTAACCACAGCGGGTCCGCTGGAGCGCAGCGTTCGTGTGCCCACAGTGAGCTCTTGGCGAGTGACGATCTTTTCGATCATTGTCATCGGCCTGGGCATAGCGTTGTGCGTGGCTGGCTTGGTGCTGCGCTGGGCACCTGCCGCATTCACTGGCGCCCTCGGTGTCTTGATTGTGGCCATTATGATGGGCATAATACCGCAGTACACGGGCAGCGTCATCAATGTGAGTCCCGTGTTGTGTGCCATGTGCCTGCTGCTCAGCGTCGTCTTCTTCTCGGCCTGTGCGGTGCACGCCTGGCCCGGAGTGGCTGTCTGGCTGCTGAGTGGCCTGACAATGCTGTTGCGCTGCGATAAGTACTGCTGCAACTGCTTCGATCAGCCGACCATCCTGAATGCCCAGCTGATACCCAGTGTCTCCGGCAAGGCATCGACTTCGGCGGCAGCCGGAGCAGCCACCAGCATTCGTATGCCTCGACCGCCCAAGGGCGTGATTAGTTTGCCGCAGCGTGTCAGCGGCATCAGATGACAGTCAGAGTCCTCCGAAGAGGAGGGCGAAGATCTATTCCACGAGGACTTCAATGTGCGCGACTACGATGAAGATGATGCCAACGAGGATTGCTGGACGGATTAGCTGGCAAACCACAGAGAAAATATGCCTTTTAAACTTAGCTAGGCTTTTAACAATTAGAATGCGGATGACCAGAGACGAGTCCAGCTTGAAGCTAGTATTATACAAATATAAACCAAAATAAATATATGTGTTATATATATATATATATATATATATATATATATCTATTTATGTATGCCATCACTCTAGTTAGTTTATATATACGTAAACAAATATATATTTATGTCTCTAGTTCCAGTTCAAGCTGTTAGGTCTTTTAAATAAATAATGCATGTCAAATAATTTTTCATTTTGAGCATCATGATGTTGATGTATATCTTCTCTTTCTATACCTAAGTAATGTTAGGCAACGCAGGTAAGAAATATATTATATAATCATTTTTAGTAAAGAATAAGAATCTATTTAAAATTTGTTGATTCTGGATGAATGCTACAAGTAGCAAAGACCTGCAACCGTTTAAACCCTTTGACAGTGAGGTATACTATAAAGACTCTTCCTGATCATTACCACAAGTTAGAGACTGGAGATTTGATATAATATTTATTTGATATATTTATTTATTTGATATATTATTTATTTGATATATTTATATACCTACACCATTATCTTTTAATTTATTTATCCTTTTTTTTTCAAAAACTCTAATTTTCCTAGCAACCATTTAATTTGTTTTTTTTTTTTTTTTTTTTTTTTTATAAAAATAAGTTTTCTACAAACCTCCATTCCACACATGCAGACAGTCATTCACCTAAATTCACCCATCTATTAGCCAGTATTGCGCTCTAAAATATTGCTTATGTGTGCTTATGTATTGTTTGCTATATAAGAAAGGTAAGGTAGCTCTGCTCATGACTCCGGGTATTTCCCAGTCTGGCACTTCCCATTAGTGCTTGCTTACTTGTTCAGTTCTCTTTTGTCAAATCCATATTTAGCTTAAGTTTCCTTTAATATTTTTCAACAAATTTTTATAAAAATCTTACAAATTTCCTAATAGAAAAAGTTGAGTTAGTAAACAAAAAAAATTTAAAAAATAATTATTTCAAAAATATAATAATAATATTATTAGTTTTGTCAACTGAGCTATCTACTCGTTATCAGAGTAATTAACTCTATGTAAACTAAGTCTCATCAGACATACAGCTTCTCGTGCTCCATAAGATAGTCAACCAGCTCTGCTATGGGCTGCATTATGGTTTCCTCATAGCCCGGTTGCATTTGCATGACTCGCAGATACATTTCGCTGCGATCACAATTAAGGTAAGAGTCAAATTTCTCTGGCTCCTCCGAGCGCAGCTTATTGCTAATGCCGGCCAACATCTTGGTTTGTGGCTCAGTCAGCGCCTTCATAGTCAAGCCGGCTAGGCGTGTCCGTTCGCATTCCTCAATAAAGTTTTCCCTACTAATCAGCTTAGCGGGCAGACCAAGTCGCACAAATTCAGCTTGCAGAGCATCATGATAATACCCCAGCGCCTGGTCATACAAATCACGTCTCTCCTCGGCCGAGGGCACCAATATATAGAGCAGAAAGAGCACATCCAAGGTGGGCGAACAATACTGAGTCAGTTGAAAGTCCACAATGCAGCAGGAGCTGGGCAAGCTGGCCGTCTGACTGGCAAAACCAAATAGTATATTCCGATCCCAGGTATCGCGATGGCAGAGCACATTCCGTATGTTCTTCGAGGGCTCGACGAGATGTTCCGTTTTCCTGAGCAGATTAAATAGTTTTTCCTTAATGAAACTTTGAGCGCGCTCCGTTTGGTACTTCACGTGTCGCGCAGCCAAGAAAACGATGCCCTGTTTGGTATATGTTTCTATAAGTTTGTAAGTTTTCTAGGCTGAGCTTTACTAGATCTACTCACCTTTAATCCGGTGATAAACCACTCGTTTTCGCTGCTCATTAGCAGCTCCTTGAATACATGCTTGTAACGTTCGCCAATATTAAATTGTTCAGCCTCCTCCCAGGCAATGCTGGCGGCGTGCAAAGCGGCCAGATGTCCCAAGACCAGTTTATAATGCTCTAGGCTATAGCTTTCGTTGGCTTTGAGATGTCGATAGTGCAGCGTTAGATCTTCCAGCACCATTATATCCTCTCTAGCAAAGTAGCATTGCGGAAAGAGCTTGCGACTGGCTTAAATAGTAAAAGAAAGCATTTTAAATTATTTTTGTATTTAATGTAACTTAACTTATCTGAAAAAAAATCATGTTTATGGATTTATTTGTGTGCCCTGAACTGAAAATCTATCTAACAGTCAGAAGAAGGCTCGGCAGACTCCATAAAGTACATCTTTTCTTCATCTAGAAGACAAGCTAAGTTGATTTAGTTATATTCGCCTGTCAGTCTGACCATTTAACCATATATAAAAGCTAGAGATTTTAAATTGTACGGTTCAGGGTATTTCTTAGTCATGCACTCCCGACTATCCCTGAGTGTTCTTACTTGTTTCTGAGTATTTATATTATAATCATTGTATTTGAACTATGAACTACTAACATTGTTGTCGTAGTCATAGTTAGTATTAGAATAGTTATACTTCTATTCGTTATAAGCCACATAATCTATACACATATATTGAACGACCTGATGCTATCTGAAATGACTATGAAATTGCTCATTGAAGAAATTAGTATTATAAAAATCTTTTCTAGCTATTCTCAGACCATAAAACTGAACATGCTTAAAATGTATGTTACAGACTTAAGGTTGCTTTTGTACTATGTATATTATTAGCCAGGCTCGAGCTAGCTAGAGCTAGAGACTAGCAGCGAGAGGCAGTAAGAGACAGACTAGAGACTTCTATCTAGCCCAATCTATATCTAACTGCTCAGCTTGAGTTTTAAGCTTACAAAATTGCAAAGTTTTCATGAATTCAATTTAAGCACAATGTAACCCACCATATCGTTGTATATTCGGCAATATTTGCTTGTAGATAGTTGTCTCCTTGCGAAAGACGCCTTTGCGTTCGCATTCGGCTCGCTGTGGCGGATTCTTGTAGGGCAAACTCTTGACAAAGTATTGTAAGTGATGTTTGCACTTAGTTCTTGTGTTCTCCAACTCCAAATACAGCTTGTAGTATTCACCCATGTAGCCCAGCAAGTCTTGCGAGCCTGCATCGAGTTGTCGCCTCAATAAAACCAAATTCTCATCTTCGGCTTTCAGCTGACGCGTGCGCAACGCTATGCGAAGGCATTCGGCAGAGCTGAGCAGCTCCATTGTTGCTGGCTGTTGGAACTGAACTAAGCCAAGAAACATTTTACATTGCTAAAATATGAAAACCATTCAACATTTTGAAGAGATGAGTTCAGAAGTTATCACAACAATGTTTATTGTTTTTGTTTTATAGCAAATCAAACAAAATAATCTTAAAAAATGCTTTGAATGCTGATAAGACGAGTTACTAGGCGGGCAATGCGTGTGCGTTGCAGATAAGACTGAGCCATTTCAGTTGGCTTCTTTATAGTAGGTTAGTTCCAGTAAATCTTCGACACAGGCATATATATAACTACGAAAATCCTCATGTTGAGTCATCAATCTTAATACTGCTGCGGTGCGATCGACATTGCAGAATCGATGGAATTCCATGGGCTGCTCGTCCTTCAGCTGCTTCAGATAGTTGTCGGGCAGGCGTAGTATTGTGGCAGCTATGCAATTGTAGGTGGCACCAAAGAGCGCAAAGTCCTTCAGGGATTGCTCAAAGTCTGCACGGCTCAACTGCTCGTGCTGGGCATCGATGTCCATGGCCTTGAGCTCCTCTACCAAGTGCTCGTAATAACAGCTCGTTAGGCGCTCCATTATCTGCCTGCGCTGCGCCGGCTCCACGTTCAGGTAGCTGGCCATGAGCAGGTCCACAGCTGGCGGTGCATAGCGACAGAGCTGAAAGTCCACGAGCACACAGCCCACATCCTGTGACTGTTCCTGATGATAGAAGACATTGCCGCCCCAGGCATCGCGATGCAGAAAGACGTTGCGATGCACGGGCGACGGATTGACCATAAAGTAGACACGATCCAGACAGCGTGGCAGCTCATTGACTATATATTCCTGAGCAGCTGCATCATTGGCAACTCGAGGATGAGCAGCGGCCACAGCCAGCACAGCCTGCATTAGTTTGGAGCGCTTTTAGTTTCATTTTAGCTTATCAATGTTATCTAACCCACCTTTATGCCTGTTGTCCACCACACAATATCGGGATCGATAGACTTCTCCAGCAGCCAGTCCTTGAATGCTACGCCAATGGTCAAACGATGGCATTTCTCATAGGCCACACTGCTGGCATGCAGCGTAGCCAAAGCCTTGACCATGGGCAACAATTGCTGCTCGCTGAGAAATCGTGTGCCGGCAGGCAGCGATCTATAGCCCAAATCTTCGATATTTTGCATGACAAACAAATCATCTCGTGTGAAGTAGCACTTGGCACACCAAACATGGGCGGCTGTTTAGAAAGATAATAGAACGATTTACTTAAAATGTGATTTATCGCATAGAGATTAGTAATTGTTGGGTTCTATGAAAAGTATACTTAAAGATATATCAAATATCTTTCACTTACAAAACTTTTTCAAATCATTCAGCAGCAATTCGTATAGCTTCGCCTCCTTTTTGATTATGGACTTCTTCTCCTCGTAGTAGCTCATATTAGCACTCTCGTATATCACAGATTTGACAAAGAGACGCGTTGAGCGCTGCTCTGACTCACTTGCCAATTGATAGCTAAGTATCAGATGATAATATTCGCCTAGAAAGCCCACATGTTCGATGGCTGGCACAATTTTGAACTCATTCAGTTTTCCCTTTTGCTGTTGATCTGCGAGCACAGCTTTCAATATCTTTTCACACTCCTCAAACGTTAGCAATTCTAGGCGATTGACACGCGGTGATACTGGACTATAGATGTCTTTGCTCATTGTATCGTTGATTAGTATTATAAAAACTGTCGTCCGCAGCAAGCAATGGGCACGTTCTGTGCTAGAGAAGGCATTAAGTTATATATATATAGTCCATACTCTAACGAGAGGTATTTTCAATTAATTCTTGGTTTGGCTTCTTAAAATAAAATCTGATTTATTACTGTGTAAGGTCAGGAAATTTCATAAGTTTAATTTTTTAATTATATTTTATTTAATTGTTAGTGAAAATTAAACAAAAATGAGAAATTAAATTTTTTTTAAATTTTTTTTTTTATTTTATTTTTTTATTTTTATCAAATTATTAATGGAAATTAAAGAAATATTAAAATTTTACAATTTAATTAAATTCATTATAATTTATTATTATTGTAATTATTTTGTTAAAGAAAAAATATAAAATTTAATTATATTACATTTTTATTATTATTAATAAAATTGTTACTCAAAATTCAAACATAATAATTTATAATAGGCTTAAATTCTTAAGCCATTTTGAAAAAGTCAATCTGAAATATAGCAGATAAACAAAAATTGACAAAAATGTAGCTTGATATTTCTAGAGCTATTAGAATCTTCTATCTTTCCAGAAGAGGATGCATATGAGACAAATTATATATTTTTATTTTCCATTAATTTGCTAATTTAATAAATTACATAAATTTAAATCAATTTAGATATACCCATAGCAATTTTAGTGTATTTAGGCCTTGGCTTGCTGTGCTGCTTGTATTTAATTTGTTTGTGTTTACAATTTACGATCAGAACTTATCGCTCTCCCAGTGTCTATCTAATCAGTGTGAGAAGAGAGCGTGCAGCGTAAACAAAAGACAGTGAAAGAGAGAGATGGAGAAGGAGAACGCTATAAATTAGACATAGCGATTTCTATGACTTCGACACAGCACTTTTCCATGTCGTCTCTGAACGCTGCATTTTCACTCATATAGTTCAATATAACAGCGCTGCGATCGACGTATTTGTATTCGTTCGTCACGAATGCAGGCGGCACCTTGATAATTGTGGCTGCCACTGCGCTGTAGACTAAGGCAAAGAGACGAAACTCTTCGTAGGACTGCAGCAATTCCTCTTTGGATATCAACTCATCTGATCGCAAGCCAAATTCCAGCAATTCCTGCTGCAGCCAATTGTAATACAAATTGAGACAGTTTGATTCGATTCGATGTCGCTCAGCGCTTGTTAGATTTAAATAGAGACAGAAACACAAATCGATGGCTGGCGGAGTGTAGCGACTGGTCTGATAGTCAACAAGTATAGCTCCATCCTGCTGATTTGCCGGAAAGAAAATATTGCCCGTCCATAGATCACGATGGCAGAGCACATTCCGATATTTGGTTGAGGGTGAAACCTGTTCATAAACCCGCTCCACAATCTTGGCCAGCCTTAGTTCAATACATTTGTTCGCTTGGTACTGTGGCAGACTCTTAATCACAGCCAGCACAGCAGAAATGCCTGTGGTAAACCAGGCTATATTGGATGCGACTGTAATCTCCTGCAGTCGCCCGCTACACTCGCGTCCAATATTAAAGCTCTGGCACTGTTCGTAAGCCAAACTGGACGCATGAAAGGCAGCCATGCTGCGTAGCAATTGTTGCAGTTGCACCTCATTCAGCAGCTTCTCTGCAGCACCTCGATAGCCAGCCAGCTTGATGTTCTCCAGCACTAAAAGATCGGGTCGTGTGTAAAAGCATTTGGCACTCCATTTGACTTTGGCTGTGAAAGAGCCATAAATTAACTTATATTCTAAATGTTATTTGTGTATGCGCACAATATTTTTGCATTTCCGTCAGCAGGTTATCGTACAGCCACGCCTCTTTATGAAAAATTGCCTCCTTTTCAGGCTCATCGCTTAGCTGTGGCAGTGCTTTGACAAAAAGTTGTTGCACCTGAGCAGTTTCTGTGTCAGCCTGAAAGTATGCAATGTCTTTCGGGTTTTAGATATATAAAAAATAGTAATAACAGTCAATTGCAATGATCGTAGCAACACAGGCTCAATCAATGCCGAAAGCAGCTGGTTCAATTGAAGAGATGAAACCTCTTGAACGCTAACTGTAAGAAAATATCTTTGTATACACTATAGCATATATAATATAGAAGAAATATATATTAATTCATTTCAAATCTATAAATTAAATCAGCTTAATTTAATTCAACTTCCAAAACTTTTTGAAAAGTGTAAAATACGTGAGCTGCATGCTAATTCTGAAGAGAAGAAACTAATGTTGTCAATGCATAAGAGTAGTAGTTGAAAGAGACAACATGCATTAACATTATCATTCAATAATCAAGCTCATTTAAACGAGCCAAGTTCAATGAAAAGTCACTGTGACAATAATCACGACAATTGTTTCGATTGATCAAGTCACTCACAGTGCAGTAGCTTAGAGTCAGCGTATAATAATCGCCCAGATAGCCGACAGCCGTCGTATCCCTTTCCAGCCGATAGTCCAACAGGTGCCACTGCTCATGTGTTGCATTCAACACATTCTTTAAGATCTGCGCGCACTCTGCCTGCGTTAAGAGCATATTGCGTATACGTCGCGTTGTGTATACGCAAGTTCTTTGACTCTTTAAAAGTGGAAAATGTTTTTTATAGCAATACTTTTTTTCTGCCGTGTGCAAGCGCTGCGCAACGCTTTTCAACTGAGCAGCAATGAAAATTTATTTTCAACGTTTCACTCAGTTTCGCATTCTCGGAGAATAGTTCGATTCGTTTTCGTTTCTTTCGTGCCATAAGATATATATGTATACATATGTATGTATTTATGGGTATGTGTACCTATGGATACGCCTACTTTAACACTTGTCAAGTGCACAGCTGATAAGGCGAACTTTATTGTTGTTACATGTTAATTAAAAAAAGCTTCACTCTTCAAGATATTGTATAATTTTCTTATCTTTTAGCCATCAATTAAGGGTTCCTCAAAGCGTTCACCCACTTATAAGACTATGATATATTTATAAAAATAGAATATATATATGCACATATATTTTATATTTAAAATAATATAAGAGTATAGTATATAAATAAACGGAATAAAATTGTTGATTTATTTTACTTTTTTAAATATATTTTTAATTTTATTAATACATACATTAGTTTGTTTAAATATATATATTATTTTTAAATTATTAATTTATTAATTTTATTTTATTTTTTTGTTTGTTTATTATTTTTATTTATAATTAAATTTTTTTATATTTTTTATTGTATGTTTTATTTAATTTTTAATTTATTATTCATAATTCAATATTTAATTTATTAATTTTTTTATTTTTTTATTTTTTGTTTTCATTTAATATTATCTTGTTTAATTATTATTTTTAATTTTAATTTATAAAATGTGCATTTTATTATAATTATTTTTTTAAATGTATATTTTTAATATAAAAATTAAGAAAATTCAATTCAAGTACGTTAAAGAAAAATGATTACAACTTTGTTAACAAGTGTAAACTGAGAAGCAATATTTTTCACTGGCCTGCTCTCTGCTGACTGAGTCTCAATTGGCGTCGCCTTTCATTCGAGTAACTCATATAGGGTCGTATGGTCATATAGTATATGATCTCCACAAAACTTAGCAAGCTGGCGCCCACAAAGAGACCCGTTGTGCCACCAATGGACACTGCAAAGCACTCAGATAGTCATAATTCGCAAAGACTTTGTTTAGTTCTCCAACTCACCCACCAGATCCAATTTGCCTCTTACCAAATTGCGCTTATAGCGCTCTGTGGGCAGCTCAATGAGCGACACCTCGATTTTGGACACGGGATTCTGATGTCCATATATATTATCCTTGCTGTCAAAGACTGTGGTAATGTCCACCTCGGTGCAGGAGGGCAAACAATCGCAGACGAGACCCTTGCGTCCGCGTCGACGTGACCATTTGGCAATGATAACCGAAAGATCCTCGTAGTTGCGATTCAAACACTCCAGCCCATCCATGTTGCACAGCTGATAGTCCGGCGAGTTGGGTGTCAAGTGACTGGAGCAATTGCACAACTCGATCTGGCGATCCTTGCGGCACTGAACGGTGCAGGCGCTATAGCTATAATACCGATGCACATCCAGAATATTCTCATCCGGAAAGCGGCAATTGCGCTGATGCACACTCGTCTGACGGATCTCCTCATCATTCTCAATGTCACGCTTGGACACATAGCGACTGCGCGAAAGAGATGTCTGAAATCTGTGGCATGCAGCATTTGCCTGTACTTACACAAAAGATATGTATGGACCCACGATAAAGAAATCTGTTTTCGGTGTTACCAAAGTGGGCACCTCTTCGTTTCCTAATATGAATACCTGTTGTAGGGGAAATTAAAATAATACAATATATTTTTTAATAGTATATATTTCAACTTACAACATATAAATGTAAATGGAATTTAAGTTAAAAGTAAAACTTACCGTTGCCTCTGTATGTAATTCCATTTTTAAAGAGCCCGGACCCGTAAAGCGATTGGAGAACATATTGAGCTTGGGACCTTTGTACTTGCTGAAGAAGGGCGAAATATTGCCAGAAATACTTTAGACTTAAAATATGTGCACTTTCCATTTATTCATCAGGCCTTACCCCGCCTGCATTGAATTGATGGCATAGCAAATGCCCAGCTCCGTTTCCATGCGCTGGAAGTAGTTGCAGCATTCGAAGGGTTTGTCGTTCCACTCACAGCTGTGTATGGAGTCCACACAGCTGCTGCGCACCAACTGGGCATAGTACGAGAAATTGCTATAGAAACAGGCAGCTGTGGACTCCTCGCCGCTGCACTCGTGCACCGTGTGGTACGATTCACCGCGAAAGAAGGCAATCTCACTGAGCACCTCCTCCAAGGTGAAGTCATGATCGGCGCCCCACAATCTAGAGAGAAGTGAACATTCAAATTTAAGGTAAGTAAATATCTTAGTTACTTACTGCTCGGCTACTTCCTGTATGCGATCCATGTTCTTCGATTCACACACAATTATAGCTGGAAAATTGGTATCCCAATCACGATATGAGCTCTCCACCACAAAGCTAATCGCATTGTTCTCAAAGGCAGCTGGCCGATCAAGCAAAATGAATTGAAGCTAAACAAAATATATCGAATCATAGCTAAGCTCACCCAGAGATGCCTTGATGAGCAGCCAGGAGGCATACCACGACACCATCAGGCAGGTGCCCCAAAAGATGCGCTCCAGCCAGCTGGCATCTTTGTCCACTATGAAACGTGCGCCATGAAGCGTCGAATTCTTCAGATATTCCTCAACGCTCTGTCGCAGACGCATTGCGTAGCTGTTGCCCGAAGCTCTGTTTGACTACTGAATCATATTTGCTTACGACCAAATCAATATATTTCGTAATTACATTCATTTCATCTCGATAAAGTCTTGCTGCAGCTGTTGAATTTCACAGCAATTTCAGGCACGCACTTCACAGACCCCTCCTTAAACAAGATATATAGTGAGATTAACTTATTTATATAGCTTTCAGGTCTTTAACTTTATCATCTCTCGCATTAGCCTTTGTGTATATTGAGTCAACAATGGCCAACACTTATCAAACATCCATGTGATAATGCACGCGTCGGAGGGGCTGGGCAGGCGCCTCCTTAACCCATTTGATAATGTTTAACCAGACGCTAATAATTTAACTGCTTAGCATTCGTATATTTTAAGTTGACAGCAGTTGATGGAATAATTTTTTATTTGCAGTTTTCATCAACTTTGAATCGCTTTTACAACAAGAAAATCTTTTATTTCCCACAGACAATAAAAAATAAATAAGAAATGTATTTCGTTTTAAGTTCAACTATTGCGAAACAATAATTAGATAATTAGAAATTGTGAATATCATATATGAATAAATAAAAATTAATTTTAATAATTTTAATAAAAAATAATTTTTTAATTTATAAAATTTGTAAATTAAATTAAATTTACTTTAATTTAAATTGCCACATAGTTTAGAGTTTAATTAGATATTTCTTATACTTTTGTTACCTTAGGGAAAAGCTTTCAATTTCATATTTTTTGTTTATAAAAAATAAACTATTAATAGTTAACATAGGTATACCTAGTATTTTGATTTATATATCTTAAGTTATTAATTACTAATAATTATAAGCATATTCGAATTTATTTTTAATAAGAGAGGGCATTCAAGTTTCTGCGTGTCAAAGATAAATTTGTTCAGTTCTTTAGCTTAAGCGTTACACAAACTTCGCCTTTAAATCTTTAAAATTAAAAGATTTGTAGAGTTAATTGCGTCTATAGATAAAATTACGTTTTTATTATGAATGAAATGCCAGCCATTGACGCGTGCACTTTGAACTAACCCTAGTCGAACTGTTTATGTTTTGTTATTAAGTGTGTTACAGGGAAAAGGGAAAATGGTTATAATGAATATATATATATATAAATTGGGTATACATCTATATTTGATATATATATATATTGTGATATTCAAATAGCTTAACAGGAAAACTGCTCACATTTTGCGTATTAAATATACTTAATTTGTTGATTAGTAATAATAAATATAAAAATAATGAGTACTAGGAGAAAACTCTTTGAATATTTATTTAACTATTTAAACTAACAGAATTGTTTAAGAATATCATAGTGATTATGCTTCAAGCTAAACAGGATGTTATTTGGAATTTTTGTTTAAAACCAATCGAGTATATTTCCAAATGTATCTTTATAGTTTAAATATATTATTATGAGAGTCTTTCAATATCCCTTTAAAGAGTGTTCGAACTTCGTTCGCTTGAGAGCAGTTGGAACAGTTGCTAAGGTTAGGCTAGGAGATGGCAACATCCGATTGTAATCTATTCTGTCGCACGTATGACGCTTTTGCGCTGTTGCTTATCAGAAAAGTAGTTTACAGCGGCTTATGGCGACAGGTATCCATCTGTGTATTTCGTTAGGATTTGACAGTATAAAGTAAAAGGTGCACCCGAAGAGATGGCAACAGTTGGAATCAAGATGGCAACGGCACTAGAGCTCAGCAGCACCGATGTACATGGCCTGTGCAAGAATTATCTGCATCAGCATGAAATTCTCGACAGATTCGAGATTATCAGCTACAAGCTGAAGCGCACATCTGATGCGCCCGCTGGATTTCTGGGCAGTCACTTCAACCTGGAGGTGGTGCTGCGTCTGTCGGAAACTGTAGAGCAGAAGCTGAGCTTCTTTTGCAAGTCAGCGCCGGAGGGCAATGCCACACGCATGGAGTACCTTGAGGCCTTCGGCGTTTTCCAGAAGGAGATCGTCGTCTACAAGAAGGTGTTGCCCGAGGTGCAGGCAGCCTGCACGGAGATAGCGCCCAAATGCTACTATGCGGACAAGAACATGTTGGTCTTTGAGAATCTAATCGATCAGGGCTATCGCATGGGCGCCGAACGGGACGGCCTGTTCAACTTTGAGCAGCTGCACTGCTGTCTAAAGACCTTGGCCGCCATGCACGCTGGCTCCATCATTAGGGATCAAAAGAATGGCCCCAGACAGCATTTGGAGGAGAACGCATATCCATCGAACTTGCCGCCAGAGCATCTGCGCATAGTCAACTTTAACCAGTCGTGTGAGGTGCTCAAGGAGTTTATCAAAACAATGCCCAAGTATCAAAGCCAACTGGATTATATTCTGGCCAACTTTACCAAGCGCATGTCGCGCATCTTCGAGCTGGTCAAGCCCTCCAAGACGCGCCTCAACACTCTGCTGCACGGCGATCTCTGGGCCAACAACATACTCTTTCAGTATGGCAAATATGGCGAAACGCCGCTCCAGTGCCGCCTGGTGGACTTCCAGCTGGCCAGGTATGCGCCGCCCGCCATGGATCTGCTGACGGTGCTCACCATCCCGACGACGAGACAGTTTCGTGCTGCCTATCTCAATGAGCTGCTGGCCGAGTATTATCGTTTTATGACCGAGTTTCTGAAGCGCGCCGGCCTGAACATCGCCGACTTTATGACAGTGGCCGAGTTTGAGGAATCGGTTGAAGAGTATCGCATTATCGGGCTCATTGAGAGCTGTCTGTTCTGTCATTTGGTTATACTGCCGCCAGCCAGCACACAGGAGCTAACGGGCTCCGCTGACGGCTTTAGCGATTTCTTTGATCGCAAACGCATCGATATCTGCATGAAGGCCTTTAACAGCGATCAAGTGTACAGAGATCGCTTGGTCGACATGCTAGAGGACTTTGTCGACAATTATGTTCTACAATCTTAGTAAATTTAAGCAGTAATTAATATGAAAAATATAATATGTTCTTTAAGGAAATTATATATGTTTAATTATATTTGTTGTAATATTGTCTTGGTCGTTGAATGAATGACCAGACCTGAGTGAATAAATGAATATTTTCTTTTTTTCAAGTCTCGCACATTTACATTTTGGCATTGCCTTCGATATTTCGTTAAGTTTTCGTTAAGTTGTTTTCGTCGTAATTCGAAAACTTTAAAAGCTGCTTTCGACTATGCTCGTTGGCTTGATTCGAGACGGGCTTAAAAAGTGCAATTCAGTTGCCATTTGGCTGCGTCGTTTTCAACAACTTGTGGCGGTTACTTGTGCAGCGAAACTGGAAACATAACGGTTTTACTGCTTGACAGGATTACGCAGCGAAAATAAAAAGACCCCAAAAATATCGAACGTGAAATTTAATTTAATTGCAAATTAATTACCATAATTTAAAAATGTGAGTGAAATTGCATTTTTATATAAAAGTGAAGAAGGTGCAAAAAATATTGTTGAAAAATAAATAAAACAAAAATCAAATACTGAAAGGTTTTAAGTTAAAAATAATTTTGTTGAAAGTTAAAATATACATATATTTGTTATATAAGAATTATTTTAAATAAATATGGAAAAAAATTATCTTATTTAAATTAAAAATAAAATTGCTGAAATAATAAAATAAATATTTTAAATTAAATAATTTTTTCAAAAATGAAATATTATTTATAATAAATATTTTAAATTAAATATTATTTTCAAGAAAGAAATATAGTTCATAATAAATGTATATACACAAATTCTGGTCAGATCAAAATGTTTGAAATGTACTGTATTTGAATTAATTGAGTTTTGAAAACAGTATTTACTATTTAATGGCCAATTCATAGTTTGCAAAAAAAATAAAAAAAAAACTTATTAAACCTTGTGAAATTCCCTGTCATCAATTATTCAAGTGCCATTCGAAACTAAATTCCCAAAATCGTTTGCTAACACTTAATAAAAATTCAAAATATTTGCGTTTGTCCGCCAAAGCAAAAACGTTGCAGGCAGCAGCAACAACATACTCGAATAACAACAAACAAACGAAGCTGAAGGCGCAATGCAAATGGCCATAAACAATTTGACCTATCTCAACAAAAATAACAGCAACAACAAAAACAAGGCAAACATTGACAAGCACTAAAAATAACCAAACTATAAACGTTGACAGTGGCTCATTTCACATAATTCAATTTAACGGTCACGTTTTCTTAGCACAGCCAAATAAATTAATAAAGCTAATGGCTAAGTTTTAACTCTTTTACTGTTATTGATAATATTTTTGTTAAGTATTGCAAATGTAGCTTGTTTTTAAATGAATACAATTCTGAATAATTTATAGAAACGCTGCTTGATTCATAGATACTTTTTGAAAACTTTTAGAGAAATACTTATGAAAATATCTTTGCAAACAGCTAGACGTGGCAAACAGTCAATAAGTAAAGTAAGACTAAGATGATTAAGCTAAGTAGCTATGTTCATCAGTCCATTCTGCCATTCTATGATGCTGTTTAGGGTATCTTCTAGTCGGATACTCCCGAATACTCTAACTTCTCAGTTTTTATAAGAGCTTGCAAAATAATGGGTTATATAGCCACCCAGCTAGGGCCATATATATAACATATTGTCATGACTTCGGAGCATTACAAGAACTGAATATTAATTTTGACCATAAATCGACGACAATTTAAAGTTAAGGCAATTTAACAAACGAAATTTGTTGTGCAACAAATCGTGATTCTATTTGCAGTGTAAAAATTTGTCGAAGTGAAAATCGATATATTATATAATTTAAATGTTGGATAAAAAAAGAAATCTTTTAGTGAAAATAATTAACTCTGAATATTTAAAATATTTTAAACAAAATATAAAAGTTTTTAAATTGATTATATAATCTTAAAAAAATTAAAATATAAATATAAACAAACGAAAAAAATAAAAATACATAAAGTATTTTATTTATAATGAATATTCGACGATATGACAATAATTCATAAGATGGGCTCAGAGATCCTGAAAACCATGATCAAAAAGCTATCAAAAATACTTAATTGAGTAGAAGAAACATATTTTAGTTTAAATCTAGAAAGTATATTCACAAATTGTTTTTCATTATTATACAAAGCATTTCTTAATATATTGAAATAAAGTATATGAACCCAACTATTTATATATTCTATGCATATATATATGTATTTTATGGGAAATAATTTGCATCAATGCAAAAAACTGAAAATATTTAAGTGGTAAAGTTTTAACTTTTGACAAGTTTTTAAGCCAGACTAAGCTGTAAATATTTTATACACTTCCCAATGAATAGGTAAATAAATTTTTGTAGTAAACCAAACCTGAATAGTGACAAAGAAATAGAAAATACAAATCATATGCGGAAATAAAACTTTGCGCAGTCTTCGGTAGATGAGTTGACCAAGTGACCTAGGCAGATGACTCTGTATTTATATGAAAAAGTGAATGAATAAAGGAGAGTATGAATGTCATACTGGTATATAACATACTATATTTATATCTGCATACAAAACTTAGACTTTTCAATAGAAATTTTAATATAGAAACTTGAAGAGTACATGAAAAAGCTATCCAGGCATTTCCTAAATAAATTCCAGAATTTATATTATTATAGTATATTATAGTTATTTTTATCAACTTAATATTCTCTGATTACTAAAATTCTCGCTTTTCATCTACCGTGAACTAAATATCTGATCACATATTACTTAATGTTTGTTGATATTGCGAGTTCTTTAGCTCTGAATGAAGCTGTAAAGGCCATTCGGAAAACTATTTACCCATGCGATTACTGTCGATCGTCAGCTTAATGATCATCGCGCTTGTTGTCACAGACATGCCTGACTCCTCAGTGGAGCCCGAACTGCGTCGCCTGCATTATGCAATCCAACTTGGCAAACTCTCAGCGTCCCCCACAACATGTTCAGGTTTTTTTTTTTAATGTAATTTTGTGTGTCAGGTTATGTGCTGTGCCACGAACTGTGACTGTGACTGTGACTGTGACTCTGGCTGCGACTCGGACAGGGAATCGCGCACGTAGTCCAACTTGGGGACTCTGATACTGTAACTAAGAAAAACAGCCCGAGTTTGTTTGTTATATTTGATTGGGTCAATGGAATCCAATTGACGTTGTCGTCGCTGCAGTTACATGCTTTACGTTCATTCACAAAAATGTGGGTCACTTGGTTAATTGACAAAGATTGACATATTGTTATTCTACGTGCCCCCAAAAAACTGTTTACACGCGCATAAATATACTTTTATTATTACTATTATATTTTTGCATACAATGAGGAAATACAGCTGGAAAATCACTGAAACTAAGAAATTGCAGCTGCAAGTGCTGAGCCCCAGAGCGGAATCAGGCGAGAGTGAAAGGCCGCTCGAGAGGCCTTGAAACTTTAAGCCATGGCTTAAAGATGCCGCTCATTACACATTTTGTTGTTTGGCAATTAATGAAGCAGAGTGTAAAATTGTTCAACTTACACTTTTTAGCAACTACAAGGTTACTTGGAAGCTGTAATTTCTTTAATAAAAAATAGCTGTAATTGTTAATTAGTTAATAATTAACAATTGTTCATCATGCGTTTAGCCAAAGCGAAAAGTGTAAAATTAATTAATGCCCAACATTAGCCCTTAGGTGCTTATATTAATGTGCCTATTTGTAGGTCTGTGTGGCTTATAAAAACATAAGAGCGGTATTCCCTTGCTTTTATTTTGCTTATATATTTTTTGCATAAAAAAGTTTGTAGCTCTGATATATTTATATAACATGTTTGTCTTTATAAAAATCCAATTTATAAAAATATTTGATTTTTGTTTATTTTCTTTTTCTGAAAAAATAGTATATGATTAAACCCGACTATTTTCTTTAACAATTTCTTGTAAACTTTGAAATGAATTTTATTTATCTGTTGTATATTAAATTTACTGTAAAGATACAAGACACCAGCCTTATACTTCTCCAAGTCCAACCTTTTCACACCTTACAAGTTTCTTTCCATGACAAATATTTTTTAAAAATAATTAATGTAAAGAGTAAATTTAAAAAAATTCTCTATATATGACAAGACCTCAAATTACGCAAAATAAAATATTAAAATTTCTTAGGTAAAACTGCAACTGCAGCTGTTAATGATCACGTAATCATATTGTGCGATCAACACTGCTCAACGTGGTTGACGAACGAGCGAATAAAGGGCACGCAACAAGCCATGTGATGAATGCAATATGCAATCTTGCCCCAAGTGGCAATATCAAGTCCAAAACTTACATCATCAGTTACTGTGTCTGCGGCGCATCCAGTGGCAAGGCGCAGCGCCGCGTTGCCGGTTATCCAATTAAAGCCAAAGATTCGAGATAGTTAGTTAGGCTGCAACAAAAGTGGGCCGTCTACAAATACAAAGTTTTGCTTTTTTTCTCTCACTTTTTTCATACGCACGATGCACGCGACATCTAGGAAATGAGAGCCGCCATATGACGCCAACTCCTACCAGTATATATATATATATAAATTTAGTTGCTGTGCCAAGTCAGCTGACTAGTAGTTGTCCAGTGTCGTCTGTGAAAAGCGGTCCATTTGGGTTATTTAGGCGTGTTGCCAGCCTGGGCAAGCGTGCGTCTGGTTATGCTGCATGGGGATATATAGCCAGCCACTCCTCGCGGGCAGGGGAAAGGGGACACAACGTGGAGTTCCACATGCGTGACAGGCGGAAACTTGTCATATCATATGCACGCCACAATTATGTAATGATCATAATAATAGTGCCAAAGCAAAATATACACATTCGCCTTTGCAATCATGTTACGCATCCAACTTGATCTTATACTCTGTTACGCAGGTGCCTGCCCTATCGTCTGATCTACTTAACAATTTTGCTAATTGCCTTAGCAGACGCTCGTCCGCAGCGCAACTTGCAGCACATTGCGGTAGTGGAGAATGCCGCCTGGGAGCAAACATTGCCGCAACAATTACAGAATCCCTTTTATAAGACGCCGCGTGTCCGCGACGCTCTAGCCAGATCCAGTTGGTTTGGTCCCGGCGAACAGGTGGTAAGTCGTAATTATAATATATCTATCTTACTTTTTTATCAATTTTATTTTTTTGTCCTAGGTTTTTGAACGCCAGGCGGAGAAAATACCACGCATGGAAATCTATAATGTGCTCTCCCATGCAGGTCTAATACCATATCGCAAATATTTCTAAAAATTTACCGACTTATAATTTCTTATATTTTATAAACATTTCGAAAAATATTATATAATACAGTCATTAATTTTAGGTAAACAAAATAAATTTGTTTTACTTTAGCGGAACTAAATATGAAAAGCTAGCTTGAAATAATAGCGATCATTACGATGAAAGAAAGCTCTTGTATGTATATTCGAACAATCAGTAACCATGCAACACACAGATAGGACATCTAAAAGAACGAACATTTTCAACATTTTCTACTATTTTATCAGGCAGGTTCATAAGCGGTAATATATATACATATGTGAATATACAAAGGCTTATACATATGCGAGCAAAAAAAACAGTTATAAAGGAATGAAATTGGCGAGAGAAAAAGAGCAGTGACAGTAAGCACAGAAGAATGATCGGACGTCTCGCTCTATCACACTAAGCACTTCACTACCCATAGCTTAAATGCTAGCGCGAGAGAGCAAGCGAGTCGAGGGGAGCTGCTGCAGATTGTTCTAGTTGATGTACATTGCATGGCCAATGATACTAAAAAAAATAAGTAAACAATTTATATGAAGCGAAATATGTTTGTAAAAATAACTTCATTTAGTTTATATTTTATAAAACAGTTAAGCATAATAGGTGTCTCATTTGCATACAAAAAAAATCAAGAACATTTGTTACAACAACTACATGAGTCAGTGTACCTAGCATAGCTGAACGGAAAAAGTAAATGGTCGATTGGCCTTTCTCTGCACAGTAAGTAATAATTCTATAACTAAAACTCAAGCGGTACATCGAGCTTCGCAACGCGTTGCAATCGCTCATCCAGTTTTAATTGCGTATCCTCCTGACTGTCGTTTTCCTCCAGCGCCGTTTTCTGCGCCAGCAACGTTTTCCGCACCTCCTCTGCCTGCTGCTGCTGTTCTGCCAGCTGCTGCTCTTCTTCTTCTTCGTCTTCATCTTCATCGCTGCCTGGATGCGCGAGCCCATTGCCATTTAATTTGCCATTATTCAGAGTCTCTTCTGTCGCCGCTTTATGTCTAGCTGCGCTGTCGGCAGGCGTTAGCAACGATTTGATGAATTCGCCGCAGATCAGGCTCATCGCAGGCATCGTATGGGCGGACAAATTGACCAGCTGTAATTGCGAAATGAAACGGGGAGAGAGAACATTAATTGACATTCACCTTGACAGAGTTCACTAAAAAAAAAATAACTATATTAGTTGGTTTAAATTTGTATGTATTTTCTTTGTTACAATTACTTGTCACTTTGTTAGTTTTTGGTGGTGCGACAATCGTTCAGATTATAGTTCAAGTTCACTGCTCGAAAATCATAATCTGAAGCTCTTCTACGAATTATAAAGTGTTGTGTTTCGGTTTATTTATGACTGTCATTTGCTGTCAAGCTCAAGTATCTCTTATCTGCTAGCCTTCGCGCATGCGTCGCAGTTAGCTTTTCATGAATGTTTACGTTTATTTTGGCGGTATATATATTTTTGATTATTATTTTGCATAAGTATTACTCATCGGCTGTATTTTTCTGCTAAAAATTAATTAATTAAGATTTTTTTTACCAGGAAGCTGCATCGAAACAAATCCAAAGTGAGTCAGTACCAGCAAAAAAAAATCTATTTGCATTCGTAAATTACAGCTTGACAAAACCAACTGAAACTAGTTTAATAGAGCAACTGACTCAAATAAATTAGTAAATATATAGGCTAAGTAAGCATAGTGCATGAATATAACGTAATTATGGCAATAACGGACAACTGCTCGCATTATAATTATTACAATAGATCAACCCACGTGGTCGAGCCTCAGGGGAAATTACACTTGCCCAGAACTCTTCATAAAGTAGCCACAACAAATGCGCGACATTATTTTATTGAACAGCATAAGCTTCAAAAATGCGAAAAAGCACGCAACAACAACAAAAAGCCGCTAGGCATAAACAAAACAAATTGAATAACAAAAAGAGGTAGAGAGCGAACGTGGCGACGAAGTTGAGAGAAAAAGAGAGAGAGACTTGAAATAAGCGCAATCTCCATGGAGTGGGCGTGCTTGCACTGACAGCTGCACTTAATGCAGTGCTAAATATATATAAGTGTGTGTGCAAGTGTATGAAAGTACGAAGCAAGGAGCATCCGAGAGAAACAATAACAAACCGAAGTTTATGAGCCGACGCTTCGTATGTTAGAATTATGAGAGAGCGACACGCACGAAGCTGCTGCTGTTGTTGCCGCTGCCGCTGTAGCAGCAGAGCGGCATATAAATTGCATTGAGCAACAACAGCCGTTCAACATTGTGCCGTCGTACTTTGCACAAACAACAACAGCAGCAGCAGAAGCAGTGTCGCAAACCCGGAGAGAGCGTGACTAAGGAAGCCAGGCAAACGGAAGCGCGTGCCGCAAGTTTACGGAAATACAATAACACAAAAAAAAAAAGAAAAGACGCCACTTGACCCGCAGCTTGACACTAAAAAATTCAATTATTAATCAATTCAAAAAAAAAAAACGAATAAAAAGTAGCATACAAAGTGCAGTTAAGTGAAGTTCAAAAATACCGATATGTGGCCCCACTTATTCGGCTTTATTTCGCTGCTTTGCCTTGCATTGTTCTGTGCCTGGGCGCAAGCTGGACCAGTGCCAATTGTGAATGAGGTGAGTTTCGGGGCGTGCGGCGTTGTGTGGAGTACGAAGAGAAGGAAGCGCAAAGAAGTCATGAGCTAAGGAATTTTTCTTAATTCTTTGCTTTCTCTCTCTCTCTCGCTCATTCTTGCACTCAGTTTTCTAACAAAGAGAATTCAACTTTTTCCGGGGTACAATGTTGCAGCCGAGTGCAGTAGTTAATTAAAAGATTACTTTCTAATTGACAATAATAAGGCCGTGAACACGACTTGGGCGGCTGTTAATCAGTACGCCTATTTATAGAGCCTAACTGTTTGTTATGATCAGAGAATATTCCATTTGCTTGTATTATATAATATGCAGAGTGAAATTCCTTATCAATTTGTCTGACAAGAATTCGAGGTGTTTTCAAAAATCTTTATAAATAACAAAGTGATTAATGTATAGCCTATGATGAATGATCTTTAAGCCCGACTCAAAGTAAGTGAACTTCTGCATTACTTTCACAGTTGTCTCAGCTATCCAAATTAGACCTATACCAAGATAAGATATTTTCTTATGCTAATATAGTTGCCATGCTGATTTGATAATGCCGCACAGAGTCGAGCCAATTGAAAGGCATCCAGAAATAAGCAATACAATCGCGCCTTTTAACTTTTAAGAGAATGGCGTTATTATACTGAATTGAAATTATTCAAATTGACTTGAAAATAGCAAAGTGTAGACACTTGGCTCGCACAAAAGCCTCTACCCAAGTGAACTGAACTGGATCACGTGAGCTCATAAAAGGATGAACCAAGAAAGTAAAATATATAGATCACATATTCTTTGATCATATAAAAACAATAATATTTACTTAAGAATAGGAATACTCAAAGTTATATCTATTAAAGTGTTCTATATAATATCTACTTGAACGAAATTGAAAAGTTATCTGAACACGAGCCCAAGCATCTATTCCATCTTAATAGATATTCCTTCATATCTTCGATATGCTTAAAATCTTTTCTATATTCTTCAAATTTTCAATATATTTTGTTTTCCTCTACATTAGCATCAGCAGCTCATGCCCAAGGTGCCTCAATGGCATTGTTTGCGTTACTTTAAGCACGATGTGCTGATGATGCGTCGCTGTCGACATTTGCGTGTTCCTACGGCACCGCGTCTTGGAGATACGCTCATACGCAAGAGGAAGAAATAGAAAGTGTGGCGATCAGGTGACCAGTTAAGCCAAAAGCAACAACAACAACACAAACAACAACAACGATTAGACACGACTGAACAACAATACGAATTCCAATTACAAATAGAATTTCAACAGGATTTATAACAAGACCAAAAAGCGAAAGCAAAATAATAATTATATATTAATATACATCAACATATATATATGTGTGTGTATTTAATCTAAACTAATCTTAAGTCTAACCAGTTGTACTTCATAGCACGTAAGGTTTCAATAAAGAATGAGAAACCCAGGGCGAGATTTACCCTACAAATTATATTCGTTTCTGTACTCATACTAAAATTATTTAGCAATAATATTTGTAAATTTCAATAGATCGTGTATTCACTATATAACGTTTTCAATTAAAAAGTGCTAACATAAAATAACATGGAAATGAAACAGAATAAAACTAAATGTGTTATCTAGCTATCCTTATATATATAGACAAGAACAAACAGAAATCGAAAGCCTTAATGTTGTTTAAGATTTTATAACTTAATTTGTATTTGAGCTCAATAAAAAATAATTGGCCAAGCATATTTGATAGGAACAAGTGAAAATGAAACACGTAACGTACTGTATTTATACTCCTTCAAGATTAACATAGCTCAGACTTTAAAATAAGATTGAAGAAAAAATGGAACAAGTGGAAATGGAACACTCTATGTCCGCTATAAAACAACAACAATCAATGAATAACCTTTTAAGAAATAGAAAATAGAATTATATAAGTACTAAGTGTTAAATAAGCATATTAACTAAACACATTTCTATTTAAACAATTTTAAAGAACTTGCCAAAAAAATAAAAGTATAGCCTAATCAAAGCGTAGCATTGTCGTAATTCATACTATAAAGTATAAATTTATTAATTATTTATGTTCCTTAAGATCTCCTGGGAATCATCAATTTGATATGAAATTGGCTTTTTCAAATAGGACACAGTTGGGGATAAATTTAGGATTTTAGATCCATATAGTTCTACAGATTAGAAAAACATTCTAACCTAACTATATAAACTATATATTTTACTATAATAAATTATGGGTTGTTCATTCAAACACCCTCCCTGAGATCTGATATGTATCATAACACTTACCGCATTCACTGAGCTGTGCGCACCACGTCCCACAATCAGCGGTCCGCTGCTCTGTTCATTTTCTATGACGTCGCTGGACTTTTGACTGGCAACGAAGCCGCCAAAGGTTGCATATTGCAGCAGCTGCTGCGCATCTGGGGGCTGAGCAAACGAAATGGGCGCCGGCGCATCGTCCATTGTGCTTTGACCCGGTGTGGCCAGATAGACAATCTCTTTGTTTTGCGTGAGCATATGTAGCGTGGACTGCGCTTGAAAGTCCACATTGATGGAGCTCTGCTTGGGCTGACGACGCGGCAGCCAGACTAAGCCATACAGTTTGGGCAAATTGCTGCGCTGATAAATGGGCAACGGCACATTTGGCTGGAAGACGTGCACTAGTGGATAAATATATAAAAAGAGGTTACGGCATGAGTAAGGCTTCGATCTGCTGCCGCAGTTACTCACGTTCATCGTTGCGTGTGACGGCAGCTATAAGATTGGTGAGTGGATCGAAGGCCAATTGCCTCACGGATAGCTTGAGGCCTGCTTGCAGACGGAGTGTCATTAAGTTCCAGATGAGCACGCGCGATTCAGTACAGACGGCCACCAGATGCGCCTGCGCGCCAGCTCCGAATTGCACATGCGATATTTGGGCAATCGTTTGAAGTGGCGCTGCCTTTGCTTTTAGTGCCTTGTCAGGCTGCGATTCCCAGCGTTTCCGCTTTTTCGAAGAAGTTGGTGCTGCTTTGGTAGTCTCATCCAGTTTCAGCACACTAAAGAGCGGTAACAGCTCCCGCTTGACCAGCTCTTCGTAGTTTTTCCGCCTGCCGCTGAGCCGTGTTAACCGCAGTTTCGCCTTGAAGCGTTGCCGAGGCTGCAGGCGGTGCAAACGCGCCTCTAACGCTCTTAGGCGCCGCTGCACAGTAATGGGGTCCACCAAACATTGTTGTAGATGATCCTTGAGGCGTCTATAACATGCCTCGTGGACAGTGCATTCGATGCCAAAACGGCGCAACAGCTGCAACTTTTGATGTAATCCCAGCTCGGACATTTGCATGATATGCTTATACACAGACTCCTTGGGTATCTGTTCGATTTTAGACTTGGATTGACTGGTCGGCGCATTTGACATCAGCTGCCGCGCCTGCTGCACCAGCTTCTGATCGTCGCTGTCGAGCAATGTTTGCAGTAGACTCCACAACTTCTGACGCTGCTGCGTTAACTCGGTCCGCGTTCCATTCAATGGCATCGGAGCCAGACGCAACTGTGCCTTGGCCACAACACCATCATATCCAGCAGATGAGCTCAGTGCGTGCAACAATCGTAACGTGCGCCCATCGTACAGCACCAACGTGCTGCCATAGCCAGCAGCCAACAGTGAACCATCCTGAGAAAAGCATATGGAGCCAATTGTCTGACGCTTATAGCTCGCTTGAGCTTCACAGCTCCACATGCTGCCACGCTTGTAAATGTTTTCCGAATCGCCCAAAGTCCACAGTTTGATCACATTGTCCTTGCCGGCGCTAGCACAGCGCAAATTGTTCACCTGGAACTGATTGGAAAAGACGATGGCTTGGAAACCATATTCATGCGGCAGCTCAATATTTGTGTTGAGTTTGTAACTGAAAAGTAAGCAAAGAATAAATTAGTTTTTGAAATAAAAGCTGCTTTTGCTGAACTTATGCTTTACCATTGTAATCGCTCCTGATATTGCCAAAATTTGAGTCGCAACTCTGCAAAGTTACGCTGATCGTTGAACACCTCGCCCGTGACCATCCAATCGATGTTGAAGGCCGCCCGCGTGACGCACGTATTGTAGATGATGCGATTCGCTTCCTGTGAGTGCACATTACTCTCCACAATACGCAGCTGCAATAGATAAAAAAAGCAAATTAACTTTCATTCATTCAGTTTCAACTCGAATGGCCTTACATTATAAAGCAAACTCTTCGTATAAGCCGAGAAGAATTGCAATTGTCCAATGCGTCCATTGAGCACCAGCGTATTTGTGCGTGGATTGAGACAGAGGCCAATGGGAAACATAGTCTTGCCCGTCTTGTCTGGCAGCGCATATGTGAAATGTTGTAGCGTCGATTCCAGCTTGCTTTCGTTGGGGCTAACAAATTGTAGCGCATTGTCATCGGTGCAGGCAAGCACATGTTCATTCCCGTCACTGATCACAATGTGTCTTATAATGCTGGGCATACGCGGCAGGAAACTCTTTTCATCCTGATTGATCATTGACCATTTCACGAGAACCGATTCATGGCCAGCGCTGTAAAAACTGACGCCAGTGGGTGTAAACGCAATGCTCGTCACACCCGTATTATGCCAATGATGTTTCATACATAGCACACGTTCCTGATCGTCGAACTGTCGCCAGATGATGATTCGGCCCAATTCATCGCCAGTGGCTGCCACCTCCTCACAGGGACTAATACGCACACACGTTATTAACGCTGTATTTATGTTCCTAAACCGCCAAAAATTCCAGGTTGTATAGTTGATAAAGTAAGCATAGTAACCCTGTGCTAGTATTATGTACTTAAAGGCCCCTTTGCCCACATCCACAAATGGTGTTCGAATTCTGTGGAGAGAAGCGCAACAGGTAGTTAGAAATCATTTTATGTACCAAAACAGTTAGAATCTGAGCTTGATTAAAATATTGTAATAAATAAATTTGTCTTTTACTTAAACTTGTTTCTTGATTACAAATTTTACTCACTTTAATTTGAGGCCACATTTGATGTCAACGACGGCGCCTGTGCTGGTGTTAACCACATACCACATGATCTGTTCGCCGCTTTTTCGCTTGGCCGTCACAAAGGCGCAGGCGGTGTCACCTTCCTGGTACAGATTCAGCAGATTACATGTAAGTATTTGCAGACCCTCCAATTCCAGCTTTAAGTTGATGTTTTTCTGTAGCACTCCTGTTCGCCAATGCCAGCGTAGTATTTGCCCTGTGATGGTGCAGCCGAGCAGCAATTCCGGTTGTTTCACGTCGAGCTCTAGGCTAATCAAAGGATCCGTTGCGTCTGTTAGTTCACGTGTCAATTCGCCCGTGGTGGTGACAAACACCTGTACTTTAAGACCGCAACGTACAAAGACAAATCTACGCAAATTGTAAAGAAGTTAAGCATTTGTCTCAATATTACTTTTATTTGGTTTAAACTAACCTTCCCTGCGCAGAGAAAACAGGCGCATGTTCCACAATGTTGCCGCCCGCCAAATGCTGCAGCTCGAGTCCGTCTTCGTCGTCGAAATTCATGGCTGTAACAACTTAGCAGCCTTGTGGGGCAGTTTTAACTGCTTATACACTCTAAAACTATATATTTTAAGCAATAACAACTTATTTTCTGCTAAGTATTTTCATACAAATCACAAACCGCACGTGTAGCTGCTTTTTACAGTGTTGCTAAACTCGGCGGGCAATAGTGCTGCAAAAAACAATATGCAACGGAATGTGAAGCAGCCAACTTAATTCGATAGCAGTCTTTGAGCGGAAATATTTTGATTGTTTTAAATAGCATTAAGTATTATCAATACATATTTAGCTTTTTAGCATTATACAATGTATTGGTAAATCAATGAAGACTGGCATGTATTTAAATAAAACGAAGGGAGTAAAAATGATGATTGTTGTAATCTGGTAATTGATGTTTGAGATGCTTAACTCAAAATTTGTATGGCTATTATGAACATTAAAGCATATGGAAGCAGTTTTTATATTTTTTGGATTATATTTTGTTCTGTAATTAGTTCATTTTAAAATGCTTATTAATTTTTCGTTTATTATTTTTTATTACTTTATATTAATTTATTTGATTAAGGGCTAATTTAAAACCTTCGCGCGTCAGCTAGTGATGTAAAATGTTGTACAGTGTGCTGTGTATTATCGATTAATGATATTTTTTGGTATTCTTTTGCTAGCGCACTGCAGCCCACATCAGAATAAAATATTGTTCAATAAATGGATAAACTAATGGTCAGCACAAAGTAGGCGGCAGAAATTAAACCGCTGCCACGTGTCCGGATAAATTTCAAGTTGGCAACCTGAACTTACAATGAGGAATAAGCGAGCAACTGAAGCCGAAACAGCCGTAATAACAGAAAACATGTGCAAATGCAACGTAAACAACTTGCTGGCAAGTTGTACGATTCCGTTTACGGTGCTGCTCGTGGCCATAAGCTGCTTGCTGCCAGTGGCTCTGGCGGAGCCTTTGAAAGTTATTTATGCTGTGAATGCGGGCGGTGATGAGCATACGGATCAGAACGGCATACACTACGAGGCGGATCCGCTAAACGTAGGCATTTCGTCAGACTATGGCAAACATTTGCTTATGATTGGCCGCGTGCCGGAGCAGGACGAAGTGCTCTATCGTACGGAGCGCTATCATACCACCACCTTTGGCTACGACTTTCCCGCCGATGGCGATGGCGACTATGCACTTATTATGAAGTTCTGCGAGGTTTACTTCGATGCGCCCAATCGCAAAGTGTTCGATGTGCTGCTCAATCGGAAGCACACGGTCATCAAACAGCTGGACATCTATAACCAAGTGGGACGTGGCTCGGCGCACGATGAGATCGTATACTTTAAGATCATCAACGGTCGCATGCACTACGAGTATGAGGGTGAAATCGAGACGTCGGACGTGCGCAATGGTCGGCTGCGCTTGGACTTCATCAAGGGCGCACTCGATAATCCGAAGATCAATGCATTTGCGCTGCTCAAGGGCGATGTCTCCCAGCTGCCGCGCCTGCACAACACGGAGGCCAGCGAGCGACGTGCCGAGCCGGAGGACGAGGACAAGCCTCGCGCAGCGCGTCCGCGGGATAATCAGCAGCATCAGGAGCGCATTGTGCGGTACAATGAGCGACCGGCGCAGCGGGGCTACGAGGAGGACGAGGATGAGGATGACTATGATCTGGAGGAGGGTGAACTACAGCCAGATATGCCGCAACGCCAACAGCAACAACAACAGCAGCAGCAACAACAGCAGCAGCAACCTCAACAGCAGCAGCAACAACAACAGCAGCAGCAATCGACACTAGGATCGAAGCGAACGCGCAGTGGTCCACGTCAGCCGAATCCCTATTCGATGGATGACTCCTCCATACTGATGCCCGTTTTTATAGCCATAGGGGCGTTCATACCGCTGCTATTTTGCCTGTGCAAGCTCTGATCCCCATGGGATCAATTCGTGTTGATTTTTTGTGATTTTTATAAAAGACTTAATTATATAATTATCGTTTAGTTTTTAGCGACAAAATGTAAAAGGTTTTATGTTTCTTTCCACCATTTGCCAACGCACAAATCTCTCTTACTTTATATATAGATATATGAATATTTATTTATATATATGCATGCTATAATATTTTGTTCCTTTCGTATGAATAATCAAATCACTCGCCAGGCTCGTTTACTTAAGCTCAAGATTTTTTGGTTCTTCAATTTTGGCTTTTTGAATAAGAAAATATTTAACAGCTTCAAACGAAATCAATGAAATAAACTTTGTTTGTTATTTACAAATTGTTTTAATGATATTGTCAAGAATTTTGTATTATTCAGAGTAAGATTATAGACTAAGATATGTTCGATGAGGCAATGCATCTTCAAGTACAGTAAAGCCTCCTCAAACGAAATACATATAATTTTGAATCGGATTGTCTGGATTACTGGACTACATTTAAATCTGAAAGCTGTAGATTTTAAATATTCTGTAGTCAGTAGTCATTTTAGGCAGGCTTTACTCTACTACAATAGGTTTCATTTTATGTTGCTTATAGACAAATGTCATCGTATTGTTTATGTTAAATATTTAACATGCTGAATGAACTTTACGCCTTTGTAAATGTTTCTCTATTTCGATCTTCTATTCTCACCTCTTCCCTTATCTTTTCCTCTCTTTTCACCTCTTGTTTTATCTTCTCTTCTGTTCCCATATCATCTGTTCTCATATCTTCTCTTGTCTTCTTCTCTTCTCTCTTCTCTTCCACTCAGTCCTTTTCTCTTTCTATTACTCATTGTTAAATATTAAAGATGTAGATAAATAGCGTACCATGTATCCATTGCAAATATTTCGACTTCCATTGTTTCTGTTGAACAAGAGGTCATCTTCCTGTCAAATATATAACATAATGACTCTAATTGTTCGCCTCAGTTGCTGCTGCTATTTAAAACAGATTAACAGATTAACTTCATGTCAAATATTATATATAAGAATAGACTTATATTCCAGTCAATTACTTAACATTCGGGAAAATTACTCATTAAAAACTTCTCTGCTATGGTTAAATATTTAGCATTAAGCTTAATAGCCTGCTGGCAATTAAGCCACTGTCAATAAGTAAACAGGGTCTATTACCAAAAGTTGTTCGAGCTAATGTAGGCATGTTAAGTTGTTCAAATGCGTTGCTAACTTTAACTGCATTTATACTTGTCAACGAAATGTTAAAGCAAAGTGCATGATGTCTAGGGTTCAAGTTCACTGCATTTAACACCCATGGTCAAGCTATAGCAAACGATTACGTGTGTTTTCTATCCAATGTATGACAGCTGGGGAGCGTTAATTTGTATGCAAGTGGAGGGAACAGCATCGTGACATTTTTAGAGAAACGCATTGAACAAACAATTTTATATATATTCAATAAAAAATTGACTGTAGAACTTTATTTGATAGATAGAAGAGGGCTTTATAAAATTAGGACAGTTACCAAATGGCTGCTCGTATGTACAGGCTAGAAATAAAAGCATTTCAAATAAAATATAATGGATATATATTATAAAATGGTATGTGCTCTCTAAAATGTATTTACTACTAAGTGACTAACAATAAGACAAACACACACGTGCACACACACGCACACTCGCACATACACATTGCACTTAACAGAGTTTTGGGTCATATGCAAAACAATAGAAAATGCGTTCTAAACAAAAATGCACAAATTGACTACATACTAAATAGACATAGGAATATACATATATTCATATATATATATTTATAGGAGCGTGCATAAATTGGGATGTGTGCATTAGCTGGAAAGGTTCTTGAAGACGCTTACAAATTAATTAACAGCATTAGGTTTGGATAAGGCAAAGAACCATAGAATAAGAGAACCCTAAGTAGAGCATCTATAACAGTTCTTAAAATCGAATTTCATTGCGTTGCAGCTGCTCGTAGGTGCTGGGTGTCAGCAGTTCGTAGCGTCCCTTGGATGTTTGATAGTAGAGCGCATCGTGCACCACATTTGGATCGTAGCCCTCCTTTTGCAGATCCACCTTGCGTAGCTTGAATGTACCAGTCAGATCCACCTTGGTGAGCAGTCGCAGTATTTGGGGACGCGCATAGGCGGGCAGCACTTTGGCAAGATTTGCAGCAAAGACATCCAGATCGAGTTCCCGCTGCGGATCGTAGATGGCAGCCATGCCGGCGCGTCCTTCGGTATGCGGTATGTTGACGCCGTACACCACGGTGTCCTTGTAGCCAGCCACATTGCTGACCTGCGCCTCCACCTCGCTGGTGGAAACATTTTCACCCTTCCAACGGAATGTGTCACCCGTGCGATCCTTAAAGTACAAATAGCCTTTCTCATCGGCGACTAGCAGATCGCCAGACAGAAATGCCATATCACCATGCTTGAATACATCCTTGACAATCTTCTTGGCCGATGCCTTGGCATCGACATAGCCCAGAAATTCGCGAGACGGATTGCCTTTGACGATTTTGCCAATGAAGACGCCTGGCTCGTTAGGCTCGCACAGCTCGCAGAGGCCATCCTTGTTGCGTATGGGCTCGCCCGTATCGGGATCGGCGCGTATAATTGAAATGGGATAAACCTTGGGCAATATGCGCGACACAAAGCCAATGGCGCCCACAGTATTATCGTGATTCATAATGTTCGCATTGCCCTCGGTGGCGCCATAGAATTCGCCCACTTTGGCAATGTTGAAGCGCTCCACAAACTGTGGCCAAATCTGCGGACGCAAACCGTTGCCAAACACCAGACGCACACGATGCGCACGATCGTGTTCCGATGGCTTCGTGGCCAAAATATAACGTGCCATCTCACCAATATATTGACCGACCTAGAGGGATTGAAAGTGTCAGAACGATAGTTTGGAGGCAGTTAAACAACACTTACAGTCGCTTTGAACTTGGTGCAGTCAGCAAAGTAGTTGGTGGCCGAGAACTTCTTGCGTATGGCGACCGTGGAGCCAAAGACTACCGCCTGACCCATGCACATGATGCCACCGGCGGTGTGGTACAGCGGCAATGGCGTATAGAACGTGTCAACATCCTTGAAGCCCATGGTATAGTGGATGCCGGCAGCAATGAACAAATAACTGAGGGAATGAATATAGATTTTGATTAATATTTATATAAAATTTAAAGCTTAAAAATAATTTACAATTGTTAAACAAACGAACTTGGCAGGAGACAATTCTGGCTATAAGCCTTTTTTGGTACTTGAATTGAGATCAGAAATAAATTCTACATAAAATTCTTACATCAATTAAAAATAAATTATATTGTAACTCTACATTAAAAATAATATATTAAATTATATAATTTTATATTATATTCAAAATATTAATATAAAAATATGATTCTATGTTAAAAATATTTTCAGTCTCAAACTTTCCTTAGCTTTCACTTTTTATTGTAGAAAATTGTGCCATAAATAAATATTTTAATAAAAACTCTTTAGCCTAGCGAACAATTGATTAGAAAATTTACATTTCTAGTCAGTTTGTATATTGAAAATTCTATTTTTATAAATATATAGATATATCTCAATTGAATATCAAGTGGCTATATGGCGTTCAATTAGAGACCTGCACGAATGCATTTGAACAGTTGAGGCGAAAGTCATTCATTTATTACGATTAGTCTATTTGAAGGCAAGGGAATGACTTGATTTGCCTGGAATTTTATAGGCAGAACTCCCTGAAGGTAAGGGCTTCAAAGAACTATTCATAATAAATTAAATATAATATTTGATTGTTGCTATTGTTAGCTAATCTTTCTCTCTCTCGTTCTATGCCCTCGTCTCTTACCGTGAGTGGGAGATGACAGCTGCCTTGGGCAAGCCCGTAGTGCCCGACGTATAGATGTAGACGAGTTTGTCGTGATGCGCCACCTGCGTCTTGCCGGGTTTCTCCACGCTGGCCGCTGTGAGCAGCGTATTCAGATTCTTGGCCTGTTTGACCGCATCCGATTGTGTGTTGTTATTCTCGTTGTTGAACTGGAAGAGTGCCATATCGGCTGGCAGCTCTTTGTTAACATCGGCAATGGCCTCGGCGAAATCCTCGCCATAGATCAGTGCATTGCAATGGGCTACCGTGATGCTGTGCAGCAGCGATGGGCCACGCAGATTCGTATTGATCAGTGGCGTAATGATGCCGATTTTGGACAGACCCAGCCAGGTGGCCACATACTCGGCGCGATTCTCCAGCAGCAGGCCGACCACATTGCCCTTCTGATAGCCCTGCGCCTGCAGCACATTGGCCACACGGTTGGCATGCTCGTTCACCTGACGGAAGGTCCATCTCTGCGTGTCACTGACCACGGCTATCTTGTCCGGATGCGCCAGCACATTCTCCTCGAAGACATCGGCCACGGTGTTGTTGAGGCGTTCACGGCGTTTCGTATAGCGCAGCAGCTTTCCATAGGCCCAAAGAGCGCTACAGAAAAAGAGTAACAAACACGATTACCGTTAAGTTGCTATAAAAAATAGTGTATGCGTGTGCGTGCGTGTGTGTGTGTATATGGGGATAATCAATAGATCTGCTGGACTTGCGTGTTTTATGGCTCGATTGTGAAAATAAACCAAAATAGCTCAGGCGTGCACAGATAAGGCGTAAAGTGCATATAACCATGGCACACAATACTGGAGGGAAGGGCAGGTGCGCAATTGCCGTTAAGTGTACCTGTGAAATCAGCTTGAAGCGTTTTCAAATTGAATAATCAGGCAAGTGTTTTACTACAACAAGAGCGAAAGTTTATGAATTTGATAACTAGCTGAAATTAAGTTAAGAAAACTAATTATTCATATAACAAATGATTGAGGCTTTGAATTATGTGACTTGACCTATTAAATATATTATTTAACATTGTTGTTAAATGTTGTCAACTGACTATATTACTCAAGAACTTATGTTCTCATTATTTATTTTTGAATAGTATTCTTCAGTCTCAAACTGTAAACAAACATATCAAATATTTGTATGTTTATTTAAATATTTTATTAGCTAATATGTGTGAGTTATCTTATTTGTATATGCGATATTTTGTAATTGCATTGATATACAATATTAATTTTAAAGATTTCGAGATTTCTAGATTTCAGATTCAAATCTTTAGCTAAACAAAAATCTTATGTATAATATTTCTATTCTATAAATAAAGCCATTAAAGATAAATTCATAGATAAAACTTGGTTTCTAATAGACTTGCATATAATATGTGGATCAATCCATTAATCTGATGATTTACCACTTTAATATAATAATTCTTATATACTCTTAAGTAGACAGATTTGATAGACTCCCAATGTAAGCTTAAGATATTTATCTTATACATATTTTCCAACCTCTAGCTGTACAGCGAAACAGTGCACAAAACCTATATACTCTATACTCTACTCGAACGAGTATAAAATGCAGAATCTGACGCCGACCGCAAAAGACAGTCGAGCTGAACCGCATTGTAGTGAAAGAAAATGCTGAATTTGCGGTATTTTATAGCATACTATATATAGCTATATAGTATTTGAGTATTGATTTCTGTTTAGTTTTTTTTAGTATAATATATATAGTATTTTAGTATCGATGTTCCATAAAAGATAATTAAGTAAAAAAATCCCAGCAAACCAGTTTGGAAATTCTGTTAAACTAAACAACAATTTGCCATTCATTATATATAAAATAGTTTATATAAAAGTTATGCCAATTAAAGCAGAGCATATAGAGCAACAACTAGATAAATTTCTGTGTAAAATATAAATCAGTCAGCGTAGATCAAAGGTTATTTTGAAATTAGAATTAGAGCCAGAACTAGAACTGTTTTCAAAATAACTATAGATTACGTAAGTGATACTAAGCCTAAATTTAGAAGTGACATAGATTATATAGATGTGGTCATATATAATGCTAAAAAAAAAATATAAATATATAGTATAGTCTTAAAGTCCCTAACTCTTACTCTTTTCATTAATTTGAACATCGACTAATTCCAGTAAGGGGTTATCGTAAACCCCTTCTCTTTTGCGAAAAGTAAAGAAATGTTATGTATAGAGCACAACGAAAGTTAACGAACGTTATCTATAACCCGATTAGCACTAAGCGCCCCCCTGGGCATTCAGGTGCGAACAGAATCTAGCTTAGCATTTCTATCAATTTATAGAACTTTTGAACGGCACTTGAGTTAGCTTTGCACTTGAACGTACTTTGTACTGAATGGAAAGTGTAGCATAGCTGATAAGATAGCTGGCTTAAGCAATTGTGTTTGGATTATTTCCCATGTCGATGTGCTAGAAATTAATTCAGCTTTGTAATTAGAATGACCAGAGGAGGCCACAAGGAATGTCAATTCAAGCGATAAACTGCCAATTGGCCTGCTGATAATACGTATAGATACATAATATAGATATATAATATATGTATATAATATATATATATATCTGTGCAATTTATGCCAGCTCGAGACTGTGTATGAGCGGAGCTCTGCAAGGTCGTCAAGCAACAACTTGCAGCAACTGACCGATCTTAAGAATTTTGTTCATTAACTCAAAATACGTTTGACCTTGTTGCTGTTGTTGTTATTGCTGTGGCTTGGAACTTGATCTTACGTGTTTTTTGTCTCGGTGGCATCAAACCGAACTTCAGCAAAATTTCGACTCTGCGCCTCAATGCCAACGACATAATATCACGGATCTATACAATTATTGTTTTCAAACAGCTGAATGAAATGTGAGTAATTGCTAAAAAAAAACTAAATATTGTGTGTTATACATATTGGCAGTTGTACATTTTCATTACAAGCTTTAGTTTATGGCTTGTTAAGTAATTACTAAATATAAAGATATATACAGCTGTAAAAAATATTTTTATATTTTTCACAATTTTCTTTGTATCATGTGTATGCTAGCATTGATCCTACTGCTAATTATATTAATAATATTCGAATTTTCAGAAGGGTATCAATGACATTAATTTTCAACTTTGACTTATTAAATTACGATATATCTAGTAAACATTGAGTATCGCATATCTTATATTTGTTTTGTTTGTCTATATGATTTTGTATTTTAGTCAATTATCTGCCGATTCCACAAGGCAGTGAAATATCTCGTATACCGTATATATATAGTCTCCGCTATTTCCGATCAACCATATCGAACTATGTGTCCCATGCAAAATTCCTATAGATCAGCGCCCTCTCTGCCAACACATTGGCCTTTTATAATTGTCATTTGCATTAAATTAGTGTTGCTTGCCAAGCGTTGGCAACTCTAGTTGAGCAGCGCTGCCACCATGTGCTACTTCCGCAATTTTTAATTGAATTCAAATGAAAACAGAGAGAGAGAGAGAGAAAAACAATAATTAAACCCCAAAAGTAAGTTGTTTGACGACGTTTTCAAGAACAGCCCGTGTGCTGCACAACGTCAACGTCGAACTCGACGTCGACGTCGCTAACTGTGTCAGTCACTACAACTCTGTTTCTTCCGCCCTACTCAAAGAGAGCAAGAGAGAGACGTAAGATAAAAAAAAAACAAAAATTAGTATGCGCTGCAGAAACTCTTCGCGCATTATCGCATGGATTGGGCAGTCGCTCAATGGTGTATGAAAAGTGAATTTGATTTTCGAAGTTTGTTTTGGTTTGTGTATTTTTTTTTAGCCACCTACTGGCACTGTTCATAGCGACCTTGAACCTGAACGAGTCAATGACTGGTAATAAAAAAAATAGGCAATACGATAAAATATGTGCGTAACTGATATCTCAATTGGATGACACATTCTGGCATATGTTTTTGTTTACATGGCGCCATTAAATATATAAGTATTTTGTGAAAATCCGGAAAAAGAGAAAACTTTAGGCGCAGCTTTTCACACATCTATGAATAGTGGCAGTGGCTGTGGCTGCTGCAGACATTCGACCCCAATAGACGGGAGAAACGAGTTTTTCTATGACTTTTTTTGCTCTTTTACTTGTTATGGGCTTTCGGGTACAATGGGCAAAGTAGACGACGATCTGTTTGCGGTTAAATGGCAGACACAGTGAGAGCGCAGAGAGGGGGGAATGTGAGGCGTTTGTCAAATGGATTTATAAAAGAAAATGTAAATTGTATTGAAATGCACACCACTTGCGGTATTGTAAACGAATCAACATTATGGCGCACACCAGGCCATAGACACACGCACGCACACAACCACAGTCCACACATGCACATACACAAAACTCACGTTAAATCTCGTTTGGCTGTTGCTCCCGCGATGTAGAACCAGCGCCAAGACCTTGTTAGCAGCAAAGCGCTGATCGCAGCGAGTAACGCAAAAAACCAACCCATTGTATTGAGTGTGTAGACGACACAGGCGACAGTCAATGCAAATGCGACCGTCGCGCAAAAATAGCGAAATATGACTAAAAACCGTTCGCGTCGTTGGCGCTTACGTTGCTGTATCGATCGATAGCTCAGCGATAACGATTGCCGATGCTGATGATCAGCTGTGTTGGTAGTGCTGCGTAACTGTTAAGCATCGGCGTTGCCAGATTACATAAAATGTTTTTAATTGCACGATAATAGTACTATATTCGAAACATAAATGAACAACACTTACATTCGTGCTATAGAGCGCACAGTTATCAATATTGATAACCACGTTTCGGGTCACATCATTGTCCAATAAAGTATTATGCTGTTGAAGATAATTTGTTCAAATATTTTACGCGCCATTTCAGCAAAGCTTTTTGTGTAAGCTTTCGAAAGCTTCAATTGTTCGGTGTCGCAGTTATTGACTTTTGCAGAAATTTGCATATAAAGTCTGGGGATTCGTTATTCAACAGCTACAATAAGTATTACTTACGGTTAGTTCGCGCCTTTGTTGAATGTTGTCGCAATTGTTATAACGCAAGCGTTGATAACGCGTTTCATTACGTTGTCACAAGAACCCATTGAACATATAAAATGGTAGAAATTGTCGACGAAATCGTACAACTTTGCGAAATAACATTTTTCTACTTCTACCGGGCTGTATGGGCAACCCCGTTGTGAATATACTTTAAGCAATTTAAATTGCAATTACAATGATTTGTTTTGTTTTATAACAACTTTCGATGTTTGCGATTATCCTGCGAAGCGTTTTTATGAACTAGTTCTATGAGTAGTCAGCTGATGCGGACTTGGTCGAACGGGAAGTTCGGGAACTAAAATCATAAACATGACCTTATTTATTTAAACATTTATAACAATTATAAATACTTTTAATATTGTTATTGTAAGCTAGAAAGTATAAATTTTTAATTAAAAGTTTAGCGCTAATATTCTTTAGTTATCGATGATTGCAGTTATCGGATTGCATCAGCTGTTTAATGTTTAACCAGATGGCAACACCGCAAGCAAATTAAAGCCGCATCAACAACTTTTAACAATTGGAGGAATTCAGCATTATTTCTTTGTTATAAGAAGCCAAAGCAGCCACGCTATGAAAATATTATGTGAAGTGCAGGTGTTAAATCGCACAACGCAAGCAAATCGCACTCCGCGACCTGTAAAATCAACACTGGCTATTGGCTACAAGCAAAGCGCGCGCGACTCCAATGGCAATACCAAAAAGGAATTGGAAATGGTGCTTTTTACGCCACAGGTAAAAGCCGGCACGCGCTACAAGGTGCGCGATAATATACACTGTGTGCACACTAAGTTTGTGCTGGATGGCAAAGCGACCATTGGCTTTAAGCAGCCTGCAGAGAATTTGCTCATCAAATGTGATCCGATACAGCTGAAGGGCTTTCTGCAAACCCTTAAGCTGGGCATGGAGGGCAAGGACGCCATCAATCTGAGACTGAACATAGCTAACACAACTGCAATACCGCAGAAATCACAGCCGCAGCTGCGCATGACCATCAACAAACGCAGCGAGTATCCCATCAAAGGTTTTCCGCGCACCCTCAAATCTCTGACAATCAGAAATATTCAATTGGTGAAGCTCAGCTTTGAGATCTGTACGCTGCGCAATCTTACTACGCTCGATGTCAGTGGCAACAAGTTAACAAAGGTTTATATTAAAATTATTTAGACTATGATTCATAAAAAAATATATATATTTCTTTATTCAATCTGCACAGATACCCACGGAATTGGGTCGTCTTCCATTGACCACATTGCACTTGAGTGATAATGCACTGGGCGAGCTGAATGATTGGTGCTGGCTGCGCGGCAGCAAACTGCGTGAGTCTCTCGTTGAGCTTGACTTGTCGGACAATGGGCTGAGCTACTTTCCACCAGCCCTGGTTAGGTTAGAGCGTCTGGTTACGCTTAATCTGAATCACAATAATCTGAGTCATCTGCCGTTTGCCATACGCCGTCTGCAGAAGCTGCGCTCGCTCCATGTGTCCAGCAACAAGCTGGAATCTCTGCCCGCTGCAATTGAGGATCTTCACATTGATTTGCTGGATGTGTGGGGCAACTGCTTTAAGGGCTTCAATATGGAAGCGGCTCGTACGCAGGTGCAACGCTTAGCTGCCGGACACACGCCGGCGCCGCTTTGGTTACAGGCGGCTCGCATTGTCGCCAGCCACAAACTGCCCTTTTCAGAAAGTACACTGCCTGCCATACTCATTGAACTAATCTCAGAGGCGCCCAAGTGCCTATGCGGCAAGCTGTGCTATGCGCTGGAGTCACGCGATCTGCTAAAGCGCGTGACACAGCCGAAGTTTACCAATATCAAAAACTTAACCTATAGTCGCGAGCACCAGATCTACTCCGATATCATCATCTGTGGCTCCAATTGTTGTGCCTATCAGCAACTGAAGGGTCTATTCAATATACTCATCTCTTGATTTTCTTTATTTAAGGCAAATGGATTTTGTAGCCTTTTTTACAACGAAGTGCCGAATCCATTCCATCATGTCTGGAACTTAATCGGCAACACAAATTTAAAACGGTTTTCTTTTAGCTTACTTTGAAATTGAACCATTTTAATTTGTATAATTAGAAATCAGCTTAGTTGATTATATTTATTGGTGTATTATTTAAAACATTCATTCCAATCATTTGCTTTTACTAAATCAAAAACTTCATTTAATAGGAATTCTAATTAGAACACGACTGAAAAAATATTTATTACATATTAAAAAGAATGAAAGTTTCACTTTGTTAAGTAACAACTCGATGCCAATAAAAACGAATTTAATAATTTAACTTATATGAATTGTATGATGTTAATATGTTGAATAAGTGTTTGATATGCCCCACTCTAATTTATATAGATTTTTGAATTTATATATAAATTTAAATTTATATAAATTTATATATATATATATATATTTGCAATTTTGATATGTGATATAGTTTTTGGTTTCTTTCAGATTTATTTATTAGGTAATTTTATTTTAAAATATATTTTAAATATTGTATTTAAAAAAGACCCGCTTAAGTACTGTATTGTATTTAAAATACATACAAAATTGTATTTCCTGCATGTTTTGCCAGCTAAGTGCTTTATCTTGTTGAAATGTAAATGTAACTTTTTTATACCCTTGTTAAAAATATTGTTTATTAGAAATTGTGTCACAAAATATTTAAAGCTTAGTAAGAGAAAACCCGGGGTATACTTTATTTCTACTATATATATATATATATATATATATATATATATATATATATATATATATATATATATATATATTTGTATACTAATAACACCAATATATAAATATGTGTATATAAATAGCTAAGCATATTATATGGTATAAGATTCTTATAAAAAAATTATAAAATTCTTATAAATTCTTATGCATATGATGTAATTAAGATATTCTACATATTTGTTTACAGTTATATATTATTTTTTCATTATATAATATATATTTCATAATATTAATATTAATTTTTATTTTTTTAACAATACTTTTAAACCATTTTGAAAACAACTTTCTTAAAGAATCCGTTATAAATTTTAACCAAATACCCTTATTAAGTAGCTAATAATGATTCAGAACTCTCATTACTTTTCTATATAAACAAAATTGGGCAACAATTTATGTTATAAACATGATAAATTTTCATAAAATATACAAATTTTCCTTTATTAATAGCTATAAAAGCCAAAAAAAAAAACCATTTTATATATATATATATATATATATTTGTATACTAATAACACCAATATATAAATATGTGTATATAAATAGCTAAGCATATTATATGGTATAAGATTCTTATAAAAAAATTATAAAATTCTTATAAATTCTTATGCATATGCTGTAATTAAGATATTCTACATTTCAACAATTCATTCAATGAATGATATAAGCATAAGTTGTATGTAAAGTTCTTCTTCCAATATCTGAAGGCTTAACTCCGATATTTGGAAGGTTTCTCGTCTTCCATATACTTTTTAGTTATATCATTTCATTGAACATTTCCTCACACACACAATTAATTTTTTGATTCACTTAACTATACATGTATATATGAGATATGCTATACTCTTTCAGTATTATCTTAAATTACACTATATAGCATGTAGCATGTTCCTTGACATTATTGCAAATATCTATAAAAATATCATCGATGTGGAAAATATCCAATAATATTATAATAGAAAGTTTTCTGCCCATGAGTCTCTAGATCTATAAGAAAACTTTCTATTATATATTATCATTCTCAACAAATCTCTACCTCGAGTTAGGGTATTTCGCCTTCAATATTGATTTAGTCTTTATTCGTCTTGTTAATAAGCAGGATTCCTGCCTCTCGCCCAAGCCCTACTCTGATGTACGCATGCAATGATTACTTTTCATTTTGTATGGGCCTAGTCTTTTGGTATGGCTTGGCTTGTTTGGCTCTTGTTGATAAGAGAAAGCCTTCGTTAAAGTGTAATCAACTCGTATGTGAAGCGCACTTTGTGGCTGCAATGAAAGCAGCTGCGAAAAAGGACTCTCAATCGGGCCTTCACTTTCACTGCTGCTGCTGCTCACGAACGCATAAAGACATTTACACGCACAGGCACGAGCTGTTACCCAGTTTCAGTATGCCAGCCACGCCCCCCACTACGCCCCTGCTCCCTAGGCGCATCGCTTACTTTGTTTTCATATAACAGGCGCTCGTTGTTTTTATTATTAAAAGCTTCGTGCGTATGTGACTTGCATAAATGCTGGCAGTAGCATGACTTTTTATCAGCCTTAAACTGACACCTAAACACACGCACACTCACACTCACACTGCCACACACACACACACACACAGAGTTGCTATCATTTTCTTGGCATTTTTCGTTCAGCTTTATCAAATCAAAACTCCGAGGCGCTGCTACTTTTTTAAATAAGCATAAACACAGGGACAGTCTTGCGACTGCTGTCTGCTGTCTCCAGCCTCCATCTGCCACGCCCCCACTTGCCAGACAAAGAGCTGCGAGTTAATGTGCAGCTGGGGAATAGGCCAGAGCAAGCAAATAGGCAAAAGGCTAAGGATGCGCCATGACTTGTGGCAAAATTCGGCCTAACTATAAAAATCTTTATCGGCATGTGTGCACACAGCTGAAGGGGCAGAGGCGCAGAGGAGCAGAGGGTTACGTTGGTCGGGGGGACGGTCTGCCTAAGCAGCACAAATCCAATTTTGAGCAGCATTTAAGTGTCCTGCCAACGTCTATGCCATTTCCTGTGACCCCTTCAGCTGCCTACTAAAAAAAAGTTTGCTTTCCTTTCGTTTCTTTTTTGTTAGCTATGCAGATACACACATACACACAAGTATATGTATGTGTATGTGAGTGTATGTGAGTGTATGTGTGCCTTCTTCTGGCCGTGACATTGTCATGTGTTTGTGCTTGGCAAATATTTGACTTGATTTTACATTCGTTTCAACTCACTTCTTCAGCGCGCGCCTACAAGACTGCAATGAAAATTTATTCTGAAAAAGGAAACAAACTTTATTTACATAAATGATTTAAATATATTTAACACATATACACAAATTGAGCAAGCATGTAGAACATTTAGATAAACAAAGAAAGTAAAGCAGGCCTTAATAAAATGAGCAAAAAATTATGATAAAAAACTTCAATGAAACTTGGTTAATTTTGAATCCGAGTTTTGCTTATTTACTATTAATTAAATATATTGCTAATATCAATAAAAATTTTTGTAATTTATTTTATAAATAAATATTTATTAATGTAAAAGTAATATTATTTTAAATATTATATACCTTATTATATTTGTTTACAGTTATATATTATTTTTTCATTATATAATATATATTTCATAATATTAATATTAATTTTTATTTTTTTAACAATACTTTTAAACCATTTTGAAAACAACTTTCTTAAAGAATCCGTTATAAATTTTAACCAAATACCCCTATTAAGTAGCTAATAATGATTCAGAACTCTCATTACTTTTCTATATAAACAAAATTGGGCAACAATTTATGTTATAAACATGATAAATTTTCATAAAATATACAAATTTTCCTTTATTAATAGCTATAAAAGCCAAAAAAAAAACCATTTTATAGTCAAGTTACTGCCAAAAAAATATACATATCCAAAAAGTGTCTGTCTGCGCTTAATAAAATAAGCCAACCCTCAATCATTTGCACAACTTGGAAGCCCCCCAAAAAAAAGTGAAACAAAAAGATGCCAAGTCAGCTGAGGCTGGTGTGAGGGGTAACGAACTGCTCTGCTCTGGTCTGCTGTGTCTCCCATAAAGTGCGCTTCAAAGGCAGTAAAAACTCCATTAACTGTCATCAAAAATGCATTTCGCATGCAGCAAATGGCCAAGAGGAGAGAAAGTTTCTGGAATGAGCGAACGACCATCAAATGGAATAGAATGAAATGGCGCAAATCAAAACACATCGAATAAATCAAAGAGCGAGAAGGCCAAAGCGTACAAAATAAAAGTAGAAAAATCTGCAAACTCTGATGGCTAACGATGAGGCAAACACACATTTTTATGGCTAATGAACGTAGCAGGAGCAGCAGCAGCAGCAGCAGCAGCAGCAGCAGGAACAGCTTCAGCCACTAGAATCCCTCGTGTGCTGGCCACATTTTTATGCATGCTTCGGGCACAAATTAACTTTCCAATAGATACCGAGGGTGACTTGGTCACTCCTCCCGTATTAGACGCCCCCCTTCCCCCCGCAGCGGCATTAAATTTATCCCCAATTTGCGTGCAGCGTGCCAACATTTTATGCTCGGCTGCTTTGGCGTCTGGCGCTCCACTTTGGCTTATCAAATTTTATTAGCAGGCCGGCAAATTGTTGCAAGACGACAAATAACTTCACTTTCGGGTGGTGCGCGCAGCGCATTGCCAACAAGTTATGAGCCACCCTAAAAAAAAACAAAACTGAACAGAAAATGCGAGCTAGGAAGACGTTTCAAGTTAATGTCATGACTGTGTAATGCTCGTCCAGTACTTTCCAGATCTGGCCAGCTGAGACTTTGTTAAAGAAACTTTTTAAACTAATTTTTCAGCCAGAGTTGCCATGCACGCAGAGATGCCTTACAGAATAAATTGTGAAAAATTTTAAATTTTCAAAAATATTGAAAATAAAATTTTATGTAATGAAAAATAAAATAATTTCAGACAATTACTATAAACTTTACTGACTGACTGAATTTGTATGCTTAAGTACATATTTCATATAGCTTTAAACATGACACAAGAACCTTATATACTCTCTTTAGCCGCGCTGAACGTGTATTAAGAACATAAAGAAATGCATTTGACTTAGCAGACTTGGCCAAGGTACGCGTATGATTTGTCGTTGCTATCAATTTCTAAACATTTTAGCCGAAAAACCAACCCCCCAAATTTGGAGACTCAGGGGGAAAAGCTAGAAAAACGGCCGGAAAAGTGCAAACACACGCGAAACTGTCGTCGCGTTTCGATGGGGGCTTGGCTTGGCTTGACTTGCCTCGACTTGGCCCCGACAGACGCGTGCACGAGTCCAATAAAATCGTTTTGATAGGCTTATGACCGCGTTTCGTACCAGCTACAATCGCCAGGAGACTAACCCGATATTATTTCAAATTTACTCGCTAACTGTTACAGCAAGTTGTGATAAGGATTCGGAGCCCGGCAAGCACCACAAAATCAA